GGCATGCACCTTGCAGACAGACCATGCTGTCTATCAATCCCAGAAACTCCCCCGGCATTGAAGAGGGGTGAGAGCCAGCTCAACTCCATTCTTGTCGGACAGAGCTTCTCTACCTGTGATGTGATGCAAACCAAGAGGAGAACTGGAAAATGAACTCCCTCAAATAGCCCTGTATATCTCTCCAGAGAAAGGACTTGCCCGGGCTCACCTGTGTGTGGGTGTGCATGTCCGCCTACAGGAGGACAGGGAAAGTATTTACAGACAGGGGCTGTTATTGTGCAAGGCTTGCACCGAATTTCATGAGACTGTTCAGGTTGATTTGCCAAAGGCTCCTGCATGCGATTAGGACTGTCTGGAGAGAACTGTGTTTTGGGTGTTAGGAGTGGGCTCTGTGGCTACAGCAGGAATGATGCAAGAGCTTGAGTGAGGCTGTAGACGGTCCGGTCCCCTCATGGTGACTCTGGCAGCATTTTCCCTAAGCTGAATCGCTACTTCGACTGGGACAGTGAGTGTAAGCAAAGAGCAGTTTTACAGAAGTGTGTGTGTTTGTGTCTCAAAACACCACATGGTCGATTAACATGGCCATCTTCCAAGCTTGTAATCCACCAAATAAAGAGAGAGGCTTGAGTTTGATTTCCCCCGAAGGGGGACGAGGAAAATGCAAACTGATTAGTAATTATTGTGGGTCCCTCTGACTTAAAATAGAAAGTCATATTTTAGAGTAGTAAACCTCTTAGGAGAGAAACATAAGATCATGGATTCTTAGGGCTGGGAGGGGCTTTTAATCATTTAATCCAACCCCTTCCCTTTACATATGGGAAGGAATGAGGCTTGGGCATAAAGTGACTTGTATAAGTTATACAGCTGACAACTGGCAGGCTAAGTCACATGTTTCCTCTACCCGACTGTGTTATTTCTCACCATCTCTGTCATTACCTGAATTAGCTGTGTTATGCTGTAAAATCAGATACTATTCAATTAAGATTCCCTGTCGTCTTGTTCTAAAACCAACCCTTGGCCGTTCCTTACGCAGCAACAATGATACATGGAATAAGAAGAAAGGAGGAGAAAGAGTGAGGAATTGGGCTTTTCTTTGGGGAAAATCATAGGCAGCGTTGAATTCACTCTCTTCAAGGAGAACAACCTGCCGATAATGTCACCTGCCTGGCTTGGCACTCGGTAGCCTTCCTTCTAGGTTTTAGCCAGAAATTACCACAGACACAGAGACCACTAATCTCCTCTGACAACTAGAATTGCAAAACCCTCACTTCAGAATTACTCCAGGCTCTTAGCTTAAACTCAATCTTACTCTTCTTACTCAAGGAACAAGTTATTGCAATAACTGAAAATTCCCATTTGGTCCTTTTTATTGGCTTGGAATGAGTTCAGTTGGAGAATAAGCAAAACAAAACCAGCAACCCAGGCAAGTGCATGGCCCCAAGAGTTTGAGAGCAGTGAAGTGGGAAGAGCTACTGCCTCCACTGGGTGTAACTGCTGAGCACTTTTAGCCATGGAACCAGGCAAGAGCTGCCGAGACTTGTCCAGCAAGAGCCTGAACCACGGGGAAGTCTCTCTGAGCGTGTGCGTTCCTATTTGGGTGGACTGTTGCATTCATGAGAAAGGGAGTGCACACAGAGCCTTGACTCTGACAAAAGTGAAATATTGTACCATAACTTTTGCTGTTGAGAACATAAGGAAGTGTGGTATTTGCAAAAGCATAGCAGGATTGGGTTTCCTTTTGGGGACCCAGTAGATGAGTTACCCAACTCTGGGAGGGCTTCTTGACTCTCAACACACATGAAAATGACATACTTCCCTATGCACAAGTGGGAAGGACCTGACACCCTCTAATCACTCAGTGGTGGGGTTCCTGGCATTATCTCCCCAAGAACTGAATTTCCCCTAAGCCTTTCTCAGCTTCCAGCCTAAACCCAGGAGCTGGGCATCTTGGCATCCTTGCTTTAGGTTTTCATAAACATCCTTGCTAACGAGTAGTTGGAAAACAGAAGTAAATATTTGTCTTTTAGGAGACATGGTGACTTCCACAGGAAATGAGACTATAGGCTATGTTCCCACACCCAATAGCAAGTAAGGAATTGAATCTGATAGCTACCTGGTTCAGATATCCTCCCTGAAGTCCTATATTGAGGACCTGTGTGACCAAGGTGATTGCCCTGATTGTCTGATGCCCTCTGCATGGGACTCACATCCTCAACGACCTCAGATAAAGCCCCGCCTGGAGAGATAAGCCATTTTTCTCACTGATTGGATTGCATTCACAGAATTCTAAGTAGTTGATCTAATGATGATTCCCCTTGGGTCTGCCAATGGGTAAAAATGAGATAGGGAAGGATTAAAGTCTGCTCAGTTGGTTTTCCCCTGAAACAATTCTGTTTCCTAAAAAGAGTGAATGAGTCTAACAAAAACAACAACAACAAACACCAACAAAATACAAAACAGACCTTATAGGATGTGGTGTATGTATCTGGTCTATCATATAAATATAACATTTATGCATCATCAAATATTAGTGGGTTATAAGCATTTATATCTGTGTTGGAGCTATTACTATAATTCTATGTATATCACTGGTAGATCACACATATCCTATTTAGAAAAGGTTGTTAGAGGTATACTCTGGATCTATTTGTTCTGTTTATGGCACATATACTGGGCAAGGAAAACCCCAATGGGCACAGCATGAGAAGAATGAATGAGGCCTAAAAAAAAAAATCAAAGGACACAGTCATATGTCAGCTCTATATACATCCTGGATTTTCAGGCTTGTCTTGAATTTGAAAAAGTATTAATTTTTAATATCATTTGTTGAATCTAGATAAATATGCTCTCCTATGTGTATTTTCATGGAACTATTCTATTGTATAGAATCTCAAACCAGAAAAACCTGCTTTGTTAAACTGTGCACTTAGACATTTATGATCTCACCGGGTAACAAGGAAAACTCTGAAGACAAAGCAAACAGAGAAGACAGAGTCTTGGGAAGATAATCCTGAGACTGCTCTATCAAGAAACATGTCAGCCTGTACACGTGTGCTAAGCTGGCCCTAAATAGCAAAACCACAAGCTCCTAGGCGCCTTGCCCATATCCTTCTCCTCTCCATAAGTCCCACTTATGGACAAGCCTTAACAGTTTCACAGCTGCACCCAGGAACTGCCCCCCTGACCCACAGTGTCTGCTGCAAGGGATACGTTTCCCACAGCTACAGTTCAGCACATCCTGGGCCACCCTGCTCACTGTCCAGCTAATGAAAACGAAGACCAATGCCATTCTTTAAAAGCAAAACCTGCTTAATACTGCTCAATAATGATCCTTATCCAAAAATAACTAGGGGTTAAGAGACAGAAAAAAAATGGAAACATCTGTATGTTCCAAAGGTGTCTGATTTGGAAGAGAAAAGTCACAAGAACTAGGTAATAAAGGGTATGTGGTGGCCATAAATATCCTTTCTTTAGAGAATTTAGACTCTATCATGATTCATCAACATCTCGCCATCCATCTGCTGGCCTCAGAAAACCACCTGCCTCCCACATGTGAACCAAAGTTCTTACACACTCCTTCCAATGTGCTTTATTTCTCAGTGATTCATGCTCAAGTCCTCAGCAAACTCCCAAAGCCAGAAACTTTAGAAAAATACTGTGTGTTATCCACTAGAAAATGATAGTAGAGACACTGAAAAAGCTAACCTACACAATCATTCAGGATTTGTTGGGTGTCAACAGCATGCAAGGCACTGTGCTGCTCCTATTATATTACTTATTCCCCCAAACTTTCACAGCCTTGGAAAGGTCCCATCTGTGTGGTGCCCATTTCATGGTTCAAGGCTGCCTTGACTTTGCCATGGGAATGGCACCTTTTAAGGATTTTGCACATACTTTGTTTTCTGTTCTTTTTGACTGAGAAGACTGGGGAGGAAGGTTGGCTTTGCTTCCAACGTGTCCTGTAATTGGATTTATGTGCTTTGATATAATATAACAAAAGCTTTCTACATATTAGATAAATGACAGTCTTTTGTTTTTATCAAGAGACAGTAGTAAAAGAGGCATAGGCAACACAACTGTCCTCCACGTGTAAGAAGAACACCATGACTAGGCCTGTTGGTTTACTGAGTATAGGATTGAAATGATTTGGAGATCAAAAAATGTCTTTTTGTTAGAAACCCAAACAAGAATTTTATGGGTAAGACAAAGAAAGTGAAGCAGAGATTAATATGATCTCACACGGACAAGATGAATACAAACCAAAGGCCAATGAATCTGAATACTTGAATCTGATTAACATGTATGTTGACTGTGCTCTCTTACTTTTGTCAATATATACAGTGGTTCTATGCAAATTACATTCTAACCCATTATCAAATTGAGAGCAAATTACGCAGCAAACTCTGAGAATTCAATAATGCATGTCCACAGACTAGGTGGGACAGAGCGGAGGCTCAATGGCCTCCACAACCAGCTGCCTTCAACAGGTCCGTTCCCACTGCAATGCTCTCTGAAACACTGAGCTCAAAGAGCAGACAGAAGACAAATTGTCACAGTTCCCTAAGACAGGTACTTGCTTTTATCAACACGTGGGCAAACCCTACAAGACACGGAAAAAGAATTACTTCTAGAGGCTCCTAACAGAATCTCTTGTGCATAACAAGGCGAAGCATGGAGAATACTTGGAGAAACAACACACTGTGGATCTGCTCATTACCCCAAGTCCCTGGAGTGTACCACACAGCTTGAGTCCCGTCCCCTGGGAAAAGAGCATCCATGGGCCTGCATCTTGAGAGAAAAGGGAAGCTGGCAAGAATGTGTCTTCAATTCAAACGGTTCCTCCAGCAGCATCCATTCCGACAGTAACACACATGAGAACATCAGACGGTTACGAAGCATTATTTGGCAAAGACACAGCACCATGCCTATCACTGACTCACAACAGGTCCACTAAGCCTCGGCTAACAGATTAAGTAAACATAGAAATATAGGTGTTTTGTTTTGTTTTGTTTTCCTTTTTAAAGAAAGCTTGTTTATATCCTCTTTTACCATGAGATACACTGGGGAGGTTATTCAAGAATTTGCTGAGAGTCACATCCTTATTTTTCACGTTTCCAAGGTTCTTCCTCAACACTGCCGTCTGCTGACTTCCCGTTGGCTGCCAGAGTTACCTGAAAATAATCATCATCAACATCCAGCTCACAGGCCACGGACCAGAGAACCACCCCGTGGTTACATGGAGGAGCACCGGCTCTGGCTTAGACCACATGACTTTGATATCGGTTTTAAATGTTGTCCCTTCCGACCAGATGCTGAGCTGGTCTTGGGTCTCAACACTGATTTGTGAACATTAAAAAAATACTTATTTGCCTTGAGGGCCTTTTGAGGGACTGGAGATGCTAGGCGATTCTGGGGATAACTTCTACTCTGCTTTGAGGGCTGTGGGGGTGTCTAACTACTTACAGACCCATCACACAGGAATGCAGTCCTTAAACAATAGTGCCCATGTGCTACTCCATACAACCACAGAGAAAAAAATACACCCAGAACTAGGCAGCTAGTTCTACTCATGCATGTGAAAGGTTCAGTTGCAAGAAGGCCAGGTGAATTTGACACATGTCCAATTTTAACACCAGAAGGCACAATGGTCTGGGTAGCAAATAAGCGATTCGGGTTTTACAAATGAAAAATGAAAAGGGGGGATTAAATGAGCCCGAGGTCATTTACTAATCAAATGCAACCAGCAGACTGATTCTGCTCCCCTGGCTCTGAGCGAACTGAACCCTTCCACAGAATGGGAGGTTTCCCCCTCCACGTCTACATTTTTCCTAGCTTACCTTCCATCTGTCCTCAACGTCATGTGCAAACTTAAACCCACGACTGATATTCCACATAATGGAGAGACTGGATTTATGGAAGCATTAGAACATGGAGACATGACAAACGCAGCAATGTTTGAAAGAAATCTGACCTCCCTCCCCGCGTGGAAGTGAAACGCATGCGTTATGGACACACACAACATGCTGGGAACAGAAAACCCAGTGCCCCTCACAAACCAAGCGAGTGAAAATAAAAAGGAGTCATTCCTCCAGTCCCCATTGGGCCCCCACATGCAAGCAGCAACGACCGACCGCCTCCCGTGCAGTTACTATGATTAAAATACAAAAGCTATTGCGTCACTTTCAAGCTACTTCACAAGGCGAGCGATTGGAAACAGAGAGACCAAGGTGACATAACGAGGCTTGATGTGGTTAAAGTTTGACCGGAGCTGCAGCAACGTGGTTTCCCCTTCAGTGAACTGTCAGGAGGGACTGCCAGGAAGGAGCACGCTGTCTGCCTGGAGAAAGCTGCCTGTCCTCTCTGACCTTGAATGTGCCCATTTGGCTTTCAGTGAGGAACCAGATCCGTAGCTGAGCAAAATTCTCAACCACAGTGTGGTGCCTTTGGAAAACCAGACAGCACTTGGGGGAGGGAGTTGTCCTTTTGTTGTTGTTTGGATGCCGGGGCCTGTGTTTGAACAGTAGCTGGGAGAGCAGCTTTTTTGGCATTTCCCTTGCTGGCTGGATGAAAGCAACCTGGGACTCCACTCCCCGATCCATTGCACCCCTCCTGCTACAACAACCCGAGTAACAGAAAAGCAAACACAGGGAGGGAACTGCCAGTCGGCATTGATGTCTCCCATCTCAGTTTTGAAAACAGTGAGACGGAGCATGGACCAGAAGGAAATTCAAAGGCATGAATCAATGTGATTCAGATATTCTGGGAAAGTGTGCTAATTCATCTCCATAGCTCTGGCTGCCTCCCACATCAGTGTCAACTCAGCTAGTTGGTCTAGAGTGAGGAGAGTCAATTTGCCTCACCTAGCAACGCCTGAGGACCAACTAACCTTCACTGAGCTGAACCCAATCTCATCACTAAAAAAATCCAAACTGCCAAAATAGCCATTAAAGCAATATGGCTGCTGCATCATTTCCATGACATGCTCAGTTTCACTACTTGACCATCTAAATCAGGGGTGGGAAACCTTTTTTTCCTGCCAAGATCCATTTGGATATTTATAACATCATTCGCAGGCCATACAAAATTATCAACTTAAAAATTAGCCTGCTAGATTTTTGTGGATGAACTGCTGCTCTTCCATACTGCCGGCAGTATTGGAATAAACTCTCATATATGATTAAAAAAATTATCCTGCTACATTTGATTTAATTAACTCACCCCTAATGCTTGGCAGGGACAAACCAAATGATTTCTCAGGCCTTATACAGCCCACAGGCAGGATGTTCCCCACCCCTGACCTAAAAGCTAATTCAACAAGTGTGCAGGGTGGTTGGTTGGGTAGTAGGTTATGGAGACTGAGCCACTATCTCTATGGAATTGTCCAGAAAAAAAAGATTACCTGAATTAAAGCATAGGGTCAAGATGCTAAAAGGCTACATTCAACAAATATTTCTAGAGCGCCTACTGCATGGTTGGCGCTGCTTTAGGTGCTAAAACACAGCACTGACAAATGGGGACACAGTTCCTCTCCTCATGGGCTTACGTCTGACCGACAGGGGACAATTGACCAACATCTCCTTTTAGAACTTGAATGTTTTGCTTAAAACAAATGAAGCAAATTTCTCCTGATATTCTTTAAGAAAAAAAATCCAGGAAGTCTGAAATCTAAGGATATCTCCATGCCTACATACCTTTTTCAATACAATATTGCTAAGCCTCTTACAATGCCCCAATAAAGGTCACAGCATAGACAACCACTAGGAGTCTTCTTATACATAATTGCAAAATTAAAAAATATATGATTTCATTTTGTTCCTTACTACTATGTGTCCTTGAATGGCAGTCATTTGGGATCAAAACTTATCACCACTTCAAAATTGTACATTCATTTTCCTGTTCTCCCATGCCTAAGTCAAGGTTTTGCAGATAATGGCCACTCGATAAATACTTGATGAATGTGATAAAAATATATATGGTCATAGGAATGAGATGGGTTTGCTCAACTAAACCTCACAAGGCACACAATAAATACTTATTGAGTATAACAGAGCATAAAGCCATTCCTTAGGAATGTTGATCCTTGTTGATCCAAACCAACATTTTAATGGGAAATAATCCAGCACATTTATTTAGATGTACGAAATACTAACTTTCTAGGAAAATGGAGTATATCCTTTAAATACATCTGAATTACTAATAATTTAAGTCATTTTCATGGAGTCAATCAATTTATGCAATTGCCTCCCGATGGGTGGGGTCCCTAATTTGTATCAGAGCCCAGGTTCACTCACACATGGGCCTGATATAGAAGGGAGGAGCGAAAGGCTGTGGCTGGCCCATTAGACTTCTGGACCTATGTTGCAGTCCAGTAGAGAGGATTACCTCTGTGTCATCCTAAGTGGTCTGGCAGAAGCCATCGGATATATTTAGAATGACCCAGAGGTAACACATAAAGAAATCAACTAAATGAGATCTTATCAACAGGAATCAAAAAGGTATCAGAAATATCTGTTGGGTTCAAATTTTCCTCAAATGCTAGCTGGGACCATTCTAGCAACCCAACCCTCAGAGTTGACTTGGGTTTCTCCAAGTTTGCTTCGCTCTGGTCATGACACTGCCTTTGACAATGTCAAGTTAGTTACAATGAAGGCTAGAAAGAGCTTATGGAGCTTGAAGACTCAGCACCCAACGGCTTAGGAGAGTCCAGAACATCCATGCTTCAGGGAAGAGGGTGCTGCCAGGCAGTGTGTGAAATGTAGTGGTTTTTAGAAGTCATCTATGAATGATCGTCCTGAAGGATAGTTATCCTTTACTTGAAAGTTTCCCCATACTTGGAGCAAAGGGACTGCCAGGTCACAACTCACATTCCCACCAAAATAATTAACCGAAAGCAGCTGCACAGTGATGTGGGCACCTTTTTGACCAATACATGATTCACAGCAGGAAGGAAAACTTGTGCTATATAAATCAAATGGCTCTGGGTATTTCTCCCGGTGCTTCACTTGAGGAATAGAGAAGTTGAAAGCCAGCAAAACCCTAGAGACCACAAATTCTTGGGCAAAATATTCAAGAAAAACAATCAAATTTGTGGAGTGGGTAGGTGGGGGAATCAGAATGAGAGTTTGCACATCATATGGACGAAAGAAGCAACTGATTGGCTCTTTCCCTGTTAGACCTGTTGATTTCCAGCCATGTTAGACACAGAGTTAGATGATCTGGGACTCACGGAAGCTTGGGTTACATGATGCTTTAGAAAAATAAATGTGACAATCATACATGCAGGGCTCTGGTGTTCATTTTAAGAAATCGAGCATGCACTATCATATACAGGTCTCGATATCCATGAATGGGAAAGGTACCTTGCACTCATCTACTATGACAGAGTTGTGTGCGGCATAGACACATTGATTAGAGTTGCTTTCCCTATGGTTCTTCATGTCGTCATAAATGGACTGAGTCTTGGTCATTTCAATGTCTTCGTGCGCTCGGTGCTGGGAGTCAATGGTATCCAGCTCAGACTTGGAGAGGTGATAGACAATCCCAGCCCCAAAAGAGTCACCCACAACATTGACTGACGTTCTCATCCTGTCCCTGGAGACAGAGAACAGAAAATGTTTAGTGAGGAAGCAGAATGCTACGGTAGTTGAGAGGTCAAGGTCTGGAACCAGAGACCTAGGGTTGAGTTCAGGCTTTCCCTTTCCCTCTGCCTGGTCTCAGGCAAGTTGCTTAACCTTAATTTCCCTGTTTGTCAGTTAGAGATAACTGTCATACTTCTCTTATAATCTTGTGTAAAGATTAACTGAGAAGATGTACATAAATTGTTTAGAAAATTGTCTGGTGAAAGGTAGGAACCCAATAAACAATAGCAAAGAAAAAGGAGGAGGAGAAGGAGGGAAGGAATGATTAGAGGGAAATAACGTGCCTAGATCTCAGAATTAGTGCCCAGGCTCCAGACACTTCTAGCTGCATCCAGTATTCTTTTTTTTAATACTCACCTGAGGCTATTTCTCCATGGATTTTTGAGAGGAGGGAAAGGCAGAGAGAAACACCGATGTGAGAGAAACACATCGATTGGTTGCCTCCTGCACTCACCCTGACCAGGGCTCGGGCTGGGAAGGAGCCTGCAACTGAGGTATGTGCTCTTGACTAGAATCAAACCTGGGACCCTTCAGTCTGCAGGGTGACACTCTATCTACTGAGCCAAACTGGCTAGGGCTGCATCCAGTATTCTTGATTTAAATTGTTCGTAAAAGACTCCACTTCAAAGATTACTTCTACTAATTTTATTTATGAATTCTACAGTAAAGAATAACAACCAATGAATTCCAATAATAAAAAATTCATGTTTTTTGTAAGGATTGGAACTAACACTGCCTTTCCCCTGCACCCCAGGGTAACACACAGATATACACAGACACAGCTGTTGGATAAGAAACTCAGCCACGATTTTCTTCCTGACCAATATGTGTAATGATTATGCATCCTGGAAAAAACAAATTACTTTGTCTGGTTCTCTTTATTACCCTAAAATAATTAAATCTTCCCAAGTGCCTCTTGAACAAGAAACTGTTAAGAAAAAACCTTTCTCAAATCTTGTTTTTCAAGTTCTGATTTTAAAAAAAATAGGATGGTTGATAACTCTCTCTTTTAGAAGATCAGCAACTGGAAAACTAATTAAGTTCTTAAGAGTAAGCTGTTCTCTCATCCATAAGTTCAAATGTTGATGAGACACTCAAAATCCTAGAGAGAAGAATGCTGGAAAACCACACCACACCACACACACACACACACACACACACACACACACACACACGCACGCACGCGCGGGGAAGGAAGGAAGAAGGATTTTCAGTAAAGATTGTGGTGAGACATCTTAGTCCAGGTCAGGGAAAAAGCTGGTATTTGAATCCAAGTTAGGCTGCCTCCAGAGTCCATGCTTTTTCTTAACTACTATCAGGTATTTTTCCCCCTCATATCTTTATATTGGGGCTTCTTAGCAATCTCTACAAGTGCCTGATTTTGTGAATGACCTCAAGACTCCATCTTTATTCATGTTTTCAGGGGGAGATAGGAGCTGAGACAATGAGCTACAGAGAAGAGAAAAATAATACATGTGAAATCTAGGCAGTACAAGCACTCAGGAGCATTCAGGATGGCTAATGAGAGGCAGAAAGTAAGAACTGACCAAATCATGTAAGGCTTTATCAGCCCAGTTTGGGAGTTACAACTTTATCCCAAGGGTAATGAGAATCCATTGAAGAGAAAGACCACCAATGTTCCATTCTGAAGAATGGGCTGATGAAGGACAAGACAGATCAAAGTCCACTTAGTGAAGAGGTGGTGGGTATGAAGAAAGATGAATCTGAGATTTAGGAGACAGAATTACAGGACTTGAGAATTGATTGGTTATAGAGAATAAAAGAGAAAAGAGTCAAGGATTTCCTCAGGGTTCTGGTTTGGGCAGCCAGTGGACAGTGTTACCATATTTATGGGTCATAACTGATTGGGGTGGGAAAGATTCTGGTGTCATAATGAGTGTGAGGGCCTTGACCCAGCAGAGGGGAGATGTCCCACAAATGGTTTGGAGTGTGGACTAAAGATCAAAAGGAACATGTGAGCTGCAGGTAGTGAATTAGAAGTCAACACCTAGAGCGGCCATGGGTGGATGCCAAGAGCATGCTTAGGTCAATCCTTGGAGAGAATGTAGAGTGAGAAGAGCAGACAACACTTAAGGAATGTGTGAAGGAACAAGAGTCAGCAAAGGTGAAAGGAAAGTAGAAGAGTTTGGGGGAATCTTGTTTCAAAAATAAGGGTGTGATGGACAATGCCCACTACTACCTAGAGCTCAGGTAACATAAGAAAAAGAAGTGTCTCTTGGTTGTAGTAACCCAGAGGCAAGTATTGACAGGCAAGGGCACCTTCAATGCAGAGGCAGAGAGAGAAGTCAACTCCCCATAGGTGGTACATTGACCACGAGGTGAGGAAGACATTACAGATAATCAACATATTCAGGAAGATGACTGAGAAGGTGAAGAGAAGGAATGGTAGATGGAGGGAGACGGAAGATAAAAGAATTTTTGCTCTGTCTTTGAGGCCACCAGGGGAATATCTGGCCAACTCTGGGGAAGTCCGACACTGGCCAAAAGCAGGATATGGGAGTTTATGGTTCACATGTGGAAAATTCCTTCACAGGCCAATACTTTCATTTTCTCTTGCAACCCTCTCTGAGCATTTAGGAAACCCTGCTGACCTCAGGAGCTTTTAGGCTACTTGGTAAAGAGAATTTTAGAGCATTTGACGCTATCCTTGGGTCTGGATGCTGTGTCAGGACTGTGAGAAGGAGGAGAGATGAGAGTAGAATATTTTATTGGATTGGATTCATGACAGATGACACAGCTTTTGGAGCCACCAGGAACCAAAGCCAAGAGAGGGATTTGAATAACCTGCTTCACGCTGAGGCACTGGGTCTGGCTCCCTGGAAGAAAAACCAAGGTGTCTGTCTCTCCTGTCTATCTCTTGATCTAAATCCTCTGGCAAGAGGACATGGACTTGTCTGAAAGTCCTGCTTCTCACAGAAGAACAGAGTCGGGGACGCAAAGTCACCCAATATTCATCTGCTTCCTTCTATTGGGTCGAACCATATGAAATTGCCATTTTTATAAGTCCTGTAATGTTTCATATGATTCAACTTAACATTCATACAAACAAGCCATCGTGCCTGCTACCCAGTGTGGCAGGGGGGTCACCTGAGGCCCCAGAGCTGAGAAGGCTGGCACAATTCTGGGAATCCAAGGGCTTAAGCCACTTGAGTTTGGGAAGGGAAGGAGAGCCCACGGAAGCACTGGCTGAGTGTGAATTTGGATTCAAGCCTGGATTGCCATCCTGGCTCCGGCAGGGCAAGTTACTTAGCCTTTCCCGCTCAGCTTTGTCCTTTGAAAAACAGAGAAAGCAATACCCACCTCCAAGCATGTTGAGAAGAAAATAACTGCTTGTCATCTGAGAGGTCCTCTGCCAAACTCTGCATTTAAAGGCCCTGGCACGGTACCTGACACAACGCAGTGCTCACCGTGGCTGCTCATCATCATCATTGTTTATCATCATCATCATCATCATCATCATTATTCCAACTAATATCTTTTCCTCTTTTATTCCTCCACCAAGTCTTATACATTTCTTTTTTTTACACTTATTACATTCTGTGGGGATTTTTTTTTTTACCACATCTGTCTCCATTACTAAACTATAAGTTCTTTGAGGGCTGGTACCATGTTTTAACTCTGTAAGACATGGGCAGGTTCGGGGGAAGGGGACAGGCAGGTGTATGAAGGAGGCGGGGGGGGGGGTAGATTGTTAGTTTAAGAGGGCAGATTAAGTCTAGAAAAATAACTGTTTGTTTGTTTAGTAAACATCAGTTGGATGTTTTGGTGGTGAAAAGTTAGGACTCTGGGAAAGACCTACAAAGAAGAGGGAGAGACAGAGACCAATGACCTCACCTACGGAAATGAGAGCGGTGTCCTGAGAGCTGGGGAAAGATGAGGAGACAGAGGGCAAGGAGGCCCAGCACGATGGGGAGAGACGGAGGCTGGGACTACACGTGAGTAGGAGAGGTTCCCAGGGGAACGTAGGGAGAGATTCCAGGGGTGGGGAATGCTGAAGGATTTTCTTTTTCAAGAAAAGGGATGCCTAATATTAAACTTTTATATTTTTGTGCTACCTAAAATTATAAACAGTGATTACTTCAGAGAAACAAGGCTTGAGATTGTAGGGGTGGAAAAACTGTCCCTCCTTCCCTTCTAGGTTCCTCGCTTGTCTAATGATTAAATGAACATAAAACAGATGAACAGGAAGAAAACAAGTTTAATTTTGTATATATGGGAGCCCCATAAAAATATGAGACTCCCAGCAGTCAAGCCACGAGGCTCATATACCATCCTGAGCTAAGGGTAAGGGCTGGGGCTGGAGTTTCAAAGGGAAGGAAGAGGATTCACAGGAAGATGAGAAGAACAGATGTTTGGTAAACAGATGTTTGCCCTGCCACACAGATTAGTCTCTTAGATAAAAAAACGTTATCTCTGGTAAGAGTTCTCTTCCTGGTACAGGCCCCCTTTCTAAATTCTTTCAGCAGTTCAGGGGGAGGTAAAAAGTTTTTCCTAAATCTGCTGGGTCTTGATTGCCTTCAACTAAAAATAATCCACATGCCAATTGGAACATTTCGGGGTGGCCTGTCCTGCTCTCCTTCATGATCCGATTGTAGGTGAAGGAGATATTTTTCCTTTTTCATTTTATAACTCTTTGGAGATTTCCCCTCCCCTTGTTTTTCCATGAGCATGTATTTCTCTGGTGAAACATTAAAGAATGATTTTGCTGTGCAGAACAATCACCCTACTGCCCTGATCTGCAATTATACTGCATTGAATCAGGGACACTTTGTCAGAGGAGGGAAGGACTAAGTAGAAAAGGGTCACGGTCCATGCAGAGGTTGACAAAGACTGGAGATGAGGGAAGATGGAGGGGAAAAATGAGCAAAAGACTTCAGCCTAAGCCCTTGGAATGTTCAGAGATATGGTGAATGTAAGAATAGCTTTTCTTTTCCACCAGACATGTGTGTGTGTGTGAGAGAGAGAGAGAGAGAGCGAGAGAGAGCGCGAGAGAGATTGTGTGCATGTATCAGAATAAGAAGTGAGAACCCAAATTGGCAGGCCTGGAACCCCCAAGGAACAACAGCCTGATCATCTGGGTTTGAACTCCAGTTTAGTCATTTAATATCCACTAAACTGGGATAGGTTACTTCTCTCTGAGCCTCAGTTTGCTCACCTGTAAAATAGGCACAATACTATTAGCTGCTTCAAAACTTGCTTCTACTTTTAAAGGAGTCCATGTAAAGTGCTTAGAACAATGTCTAACACTTAAGGAGCACTCACTAAAAATTAGCTAGCTGTCTGCATCCCTCCCATCAGTTTTCATTGTATGGATGCGTGAACTGTCAACTCTGTCAACTGGTGCTCAGAAAAGTATAGAGATGCTCGACTACCCACAATCGAGAACTCCTGCTCCCCTTCCCTGTCTCTAGACCATTGCTTCTGGAAGTGAGGTCCTGGACAGTATCAGCAGCATCACCTGGGAACTTGTTATCAATGCCCATTCTTGGTCCCCCCCACCCCCGCCCCCCAACCTTCTGAATCTCCAGGAGAGATTGGTGCGTGCTCAAGTTTGGGAATCATTGCTCTATCTCTTCCAGGGAGGGATGCTAACAGGGGAGAGTCACAGTATCCCCTGCAGGGTGGAGGCCCTTTAAGGCCTTCCTTATAAGTGCCATCTCAACTATATCCAAACTAGTAAAGGTGTCCCCGGAAATGACCTCACCAGCAGTCTCATATGATAAATGGGCCATTATTCCCTCAGCTTTCACTTTACTGTGGCTTTTCTTTTCCCACCTGTGGCCAGACCCAGGTATTTATCCCTTCTCCCTGGTACAGGCTCCCAGTTTTCACTCCATCCTGTCTCCTCACAGTAAGAGGGGTGTCAGCCAGGTCGCTGAAAAATATCTGCCAAGGATTCCCTTCACAAAGAGTTTCCTGGACTCTGGGGAAGGTTCTAGTTTTACCAGCCCTGCCCATCCGGTGTTCCTAGGACTTGGGCACTTTTTGGGGCCCAGAATCTTGGTTTTCACCATGACATTTACAGAGCAGCTAGCCTGCCCTTTGGAAAAGGCCCAGGGCTTGGCGGACAGTGATGAGATGGCTGGTCTCCAGCAGTTGGCAAACAGCGTGGCACATTAAATGTCACTGCAGGCTTTGTTTGGTTTTAAATTGAAAAATTGCTAGAGTTATGAAAGCTTATCATTCTTGCCTAGAGGAACAAACATCCCAGTCTACCCCGGAAATGAGCAGCCTCCCTCGATCTCAACTCATCCCCCTGCACCACTCATACACTAACGGGCACCCAACAGCCATGGAGCCCATGACTAAGAGCGTGTTTCCGGAATGTCTCTTGCTGCTGGGAAAGAATGCGGCACCATTACTAATTCAAAGCAGGTCTGACCTACCTACGCACAGACCCCTATGCACATTTTCCCAGGATCCTCTACCCTTCCTTTTTCTTCTCTTCTTAAAAGGAACATTCATGCTTTTTTTTGGTATACAAACATCCATCACCTGCAGAATCCTAGTCCGAGTCTAACAACTAGAAGGACACTCAAGGGCACTGGGTCTAGACTCTGCTTTCGAAGTGATAAGTTATTGTTCCCTATACACATGATGAGGTCCAGAGAGTAAGCAACCTGCCCAAAGTCCAGAGAGTAAGTGTAGAGCTCGGACCCCGGGCACCTGTCTCTTTGCTTCTCTTCCCCTGATCACCAGAGAGCAGACCCCAGAACTTGAGGACAGCTCTTCGTTCCCTCGTTCCTTTCCAGCCCAGCCTGGGACCAAATTTAGTGTCATCAATATAGTTAATCCCAATGTGTCATCATTTTTGTTGTTAGTCAGCCAACTCCCTTCTGCTAGTGCATTTCAACCCTGGAGTGAGGACGCCCCACTCTCTATGCAAGTGTGAGCATGCGAGCACCTGTGGGGTGATCTGGGAGGACCCAGCCCTCCTTTTCCATTCGCTAGCATTTAGGTCAAAAGTAGGCAGGGTCTTGGATGGTTCATGATCTGAGTCTTATCCAACAGGCTTGACTGCCAAGAAGACCAGGCTCACAATGGCTGACCTCCTGGGACGAGAGAACTTGAATTCTAAAAGTGGCTGAGACCTTGATTGTACCCCATTTGTCCCTACTTAGGCTTTTTGTGTTGTTTTGTTTTGTTTGTTTTAATCCTGGGAAGAGGAAAAAAAACAGGTCAAACAAAAAATCCTCTGGTTAGCATGTAGAACCAGCCATGACCCTAATAGGTCTGTCTTCTCCAACCTTCCCAACTCTGGACCTCTCCACCTCAGCTTCCCACTGTTAGACCTGCTTGGATGCTGTGTGGGCTGGGGTGCAGGGCCCTGACCTGGCCACACAAGCTTGCCTGTGCCTCAGGCGAGAGACCTGACCCTTCTGATTCCTGGTTGCCTCTGTGAAATACACAGTAGGGCTTTTTAGGAATTAATTGTCAAAAGATGTGAAAAACGCTGTGGTACCCACAAATACAAGCTCCTTTTTTTCATTCCTGGATAACATTAGTGCATTTTCCCCCCAGTCAAAAGCATTTGCATTATAATTGGGGGGAGGCAGGTTCTATAAGAATAATTTTTAAAAGATGAATCTCTAACAGTGAATTTGGGGCCTCAGAAATAAGCCCAAGAAAAGACTAGGCAATGTCATCACAGTAAGCAAGGGCACTTGATGACAACGCAGGTTTGAGAGGCTCAAGGGACAAAGAGGTGGAGGACTAAGTAAACAAAGTCACAGGAGAACTAGATGAGATTTTAATAACTCACTCTGTCTTTGCTCTTGTGTAGAAAGGGCCCTGGTTGTTATGTACGCAGCAATTCTGTGGTTGCATTTATTGAACACCTACTGTGTGCTCTGTCCCCAAACCATTGCCAATGTTGTTATTTTCCCTTTGTCTTCCTCCCCAAATCCTACCCCACTCCTTTGTCTCCTTCAATTCTATTCTCCCTCAGTCCTTCTAACTATACCCCACCACCAGACCTCAGCTGCCCATAGCTGCCTTGTCTGCAAATGTCATAAGAAAGGGGTTGTGACAGGGCTTGAAGAACAACCAAGCTAGCATGAGGCCCCTCCCCATCACCACCACCTGAGAGAGATGGGCAGAGACAGATAAGAGTTAATTTCACATGCTCTTCACCTTCCCGCTAAAGGCATTTCCAGAGAATTTCTCTGGTGACAAAAGAATGAGTCAGGAAGATTCATAACTTTCCTTACAAATCTCCTGAGTTAAGGAGAATATGTCCAGGAAGCCACTTCTCGTTTTAACCTAAACCTCCATGGCAGGCAAGTTTTATGGAGAGACCAGGCTATCTTCTAGTCTTCCCCGATGCCCTTCTTCCCTTCAGCCATGGGCATGGTTCTCTCTTTAAAATATCACAGAGAGGAATTTATTTTAGCACCAGGAAACTCAAGTCCATAAAATGTGGCTTCTGGCTTTTAAAATCGATGCCAGTACACGTCAGAAGAACTCCCACTGGCTTGTGGAGCAGTTTTTAAAATGTGTGCTTTGGCCACGGACCTCTGTGCCAGCCCTTGCCACTCTGTGCCTCTGACATTGAAGTCAATGGCACCAACCAGCCCCCATAATACAGCTCCAAGACTGGTCAGGAGGCACCTGTGTACAGCCCACAGAACATCAGAGCCCTAATGCGCCCTTAGCAAGGACTGATTATAATCTCCTTATTGGGGACCATCTGGTTAGACTGGCCCACCTTTGTGAATGTGGAGGGCATGCCCTACACTAGGAAAATGTCCTTCACTGAGAAAGGTGCTGGACTATGTGTGCAGTCAAGTTCAAGCTTCTCTTCGTGGTCTTTAAGGATGTCCATCTTGCCTGACCTTTTGGCACTTCCTGCCTCACACCTTGTGCTCCAACAATACTAAACCACTCATTGGTCCCCACAATGCCTCAGAGCCTTTGTACGGGCTGCCCTGATTGGAATGTCCTGTTTCCCCTTCCATCTACCAGTATGTATACCTGGGCAACTTCTACCTACTCGTTGAGATTCAGCTCAACTATCACTGCCATTAGAAACTTAAATATGGTCATAATTATGAATGTGGTGGCCTCCAAAACCAAGCAGCCCTAGGGTCAAATCTCTGTTCATTTCCAAGTCACATTACCACCCTAAACCTCAGCTTCCTCATCTATAATTTGGGAGTAATACCACCAAACTTTCAGTTGTCAGAGGAAGATGTAAAGCGCTCAGTAGAGTAGCTGGCACATAGTGAGCACTGAAATTCAGTAGCCATGCTCATTGTTTCCTGATTTCTCCACTCTGCCTTCCCATCCTAGACTGGGATGGTGCCTCTGTCACTATCCTTTTAATAACTCTATTGAAGAGTAATTCACATACAATACATGTAAATTTTCAATGCATTGTTTGACAAATGTAGACACCTATACACACCTATGCATATGGAACACTCTGTTACTCCTAAAGATTTCCTTGGGCCAACTTCCCAATTAATTCTCTAGCCCCTACCCCTGGGCTCAGGCAACCACGGATTCCTTTCTATTGCAAGGTATTTTAATGCCTTTCAAAGAGCTTCATCTAGGAATCATATAGTATATACTCCTTTGTGCTTCATTCACTCAACATAATGGGTTGAGATCCTTTGCGTGCAGCAGTAGTTGGTTCCTTATTGCTAAGCTTCTATCCTTGCATTATAATTTCTATCTGATTCCTCCACTAGACTGTGAGGCCCTCAAAGATTCAATCTTTTTTTTCCTTTGGTTTCCAAATCAGCACTCAGTAAATGTTAGGGGGGCGGTAGTGAGGGAATTGCAAAAAGGATCAGCTAAGCTCTTGGCTGCAACCTTGCATCTAGTTCACCCCTGGAGGCAGTATTCACATCCCCAGAAGAACCCCGTGTGCAAACACTTACAGCAGCCAGTCCACAGCCACCAGCAGGCTGATGTCCTCCGTTGGCAGGCCCACAGCTGTCAGAATGAGGAGCATGGTGACCAGCCCAGCGCTGGGGATACTGGCTGCGCCGACACTTGCCAGTGTGGCCGTGAGGCTGTGAGAACAGAAAAGGTCAGGTCACGGGAGGAGAAAATGGCCTTGGCAAAACCATCTCTGGCAATTTTAAGCTTTCATGTTCCTTGCAATCATAAATTCCCTTTTCTTCCCAAGAAATAGCAAAATCTAGAGTTCCAAGACCCAGGAATTGGGGTCTATTTGGATTCTGCTTAACTGCAATGGAAACTTATAAATTCATGGGTGGGAGCCTTATCCCCATCATGATATTCAAGTAGCCTAGTCTATCACAGGCTAAAATAAAATAAGCGTGGCTCTAAAGTCAGGTAAGGCAATATTAAAGAAGAAAAACAAGTCACTTTAATGCTCCCACAGGAAGACCACTGCATTCTGCTTACGCCTTTATGTCTCTGTGAGCACCAGAGACTTCTGGACTACGTGGCAAGAATCTGAGAAGACCATTGCCAATGTTAACATGAGAACTCAGAATAGCAAATATCCAGACCCAGTGGACATCGGGGGAACAAATCAACAGATTCCAAATGACATTAGGCTTCAGATGCCTGGACAGTTCATCATGGACTGGAAAATCCATTATTCAGACAGAGGGTGCCAAGAAATGATAATGAAATAACGGAAGGTTTCTTTTTGAGGCATCTCGTCATTTGCTTTCCAAGCAATGCCAAGGGCACACCCAGCACCATTTTGAAGTTATCTCTGGAAGAGGGGTTAATCTAGGCTTCATGCTCCCTGTGGAGACACCAGGGGCCTCTGCGGTCCAGCAAAGGGCAGTGACTTTGTCTCCTCCTTCCTAGATGCCATTTATAAAAGCTGTCATTTCGAAATGGAAAGATGCTTCTGAAAATACAGATTCCCAACTTGCTTTTGTGGGTGCTGGAAAGAAAGGGGGGGCTGATTTCTTTGCAGTAATAACATTCTAGAGTTTCCAGAGGAGCACTGCCAGGCTCCTAAACTGGGGTAACCAAGTCTAGACAGTGAGTGTAACCAAGCACAGAATCCTGGGGTCTTCCAGTTGGGAGGGACCTGAATTTATCTAATCTCACATATGAGGAAAGGAAAGCCCTGGGACATTTTGTGGTAAGCCTTATCCTTCCATATTGTCCTCCTTCCACACTTAGGCCTGTTACAGTAAAGACACCTTCCCTTGGAGGGATCTACAGAACTCATCTGTGCTCTTCCCTGCCCCACCAATACGGTGTTGGTGTTAGGGTTTAGGGAACTCCATTTTCCCTGGACGCATCTGGGTCACAGGAAGTAGCAGTGTGCTGTGATCATCATTGAAGGTTCTGGAGTTGAACGACCTGGGTTCAAATCCCAGCTCTGCCACTTATTCACCACATGACTTTAGGCAACTGAAACTCTTTGTGTTTTGATTTCCTTATTTGAGAAAAGGAGATATGTCAAATATTATTCTTATTGGGAAATCTCCACAGGGTGAGGCTGCTTTGCAATGAAAACGTCCCTTAAACCCCAAGAGATGGAAGGTGGGAATTCTCAGCCACTTCCCTGACCAGGGAAGGGGAACTCCCCAAGTTCCAACCATCTTGGCCTCAGCCATTTACTTTACAACCCCAGCTGCTTCTGTTATGAGTCACTCTTACACATGCCTGTGCACTATGGCCACATTGTCTGGTTACCGCTTGGTTGTGTGTGACAAATTCTACAAAGAGAACACTTCCTGGCAGCTGGTTCCCCCTCAGTTCCTCCACCCCAATCATGTCCTCATGGGCTGAGTGTCCGTGCAATTCTAAGTCCTGCAGAAGCTCCCTGAGCAGTGAGCTCTCTTCCATTCCTTTGTCCCTTTTCCTGTCCTTCCTCTCCCTGGCTCACGTCTCTAGGGCTGGTTCTTGGATGCTGTGCAAGGTACTTGCAGAACCTCAAGATAGCTCTGCAAGGTTCATATGGTAGTACTTGCTCTCCAGCAGGAAATCATGGATCAATGGGTGGAGAAACATAGGGTCCCACAGCTCAAACATGGTCTGCTGGGATTTGAACACTCGCCTGCCTCATTCCAATGCCATGCTATACCTGCTGTCCCTTGATTCTCCCCACATTAAAAACTCTGAGTTAATGAATCCCAACCACTTGGCCACTGGTCCATTCTCCCATCTCTATGTTCTCATTGAATGGTGTGAACTTGATGGGCGGTGTGGTTGTCTTCAAGGCCAGGAACTCAGGGACCAGAAATCATCTTTGCTTGGCTCCAAAAGAAGGGGCTTCACTAAGGCACCCTTTTCATCTTTGAGTTTTAAAACAAGGGAGGCTGGCAGTCTCACATGCAGTTAGGACACGATTTAAAAGGCCTGATACTCTGACCTGAAGCATGTCTTCCCTCACTATGTCGCTGTCATATTTTCTTCCATGTTCTAGGAGTATTATATTTCATTTAGTATCAATAACAGTAATAATACCGGTAGCTAACATTTATTGACAGGTGACTATGTACAAGGCACAATGCTCTCAACCTCCCTAGACTATGTGATTATTGTTCCCACTATACAGATGAGGAAACTGAGGCTCCTGTATAGTACTGCTACGAACTGAGTTATATCTCCCCCAAATTCATTGGTTGAAGCCCCACTCTCCAATGTGATGGGCTTTGGGGAGGTAATCAGGTCATGAGGGTGGAGCCCTTATGATGAAATTAGTGCCCTTATAAAAGGAAACTTAAGAGGTCAGCTATTTCTGTCCACGCATGAGGACAGACCATGTCGGCAAAAACAGCAAGGAGAAGGTCATATGCAAGCCAGGAAGAGGGCATTCATCAGGAGCTGAATTTGCCAGCACCTTGATCTTGGACTTCCAGACCCAAGAACTATGAGAAATAAATTCTACTGTTTAGCCATCTAGTCTATGGTATTTTATTATAGCCCGCTAAGCTGACAGGGTGGTTGTGAGAATTGGATAAATTAATATAGGCAAGTAGGTGTGATCTTTAAGTTTATGGAGAAGCCATGTGTTTTTCATGACCTCTTGGGAAAGTGTTCTTTCTAAATTTTTTTAAATAATACATATGGTAACAATAGCTTTATTCAAAACAAACCTACTTGCTATTTATTTGTAATAAAATGTTTTATGTGGTATTGAGGAATCTCTTCCTTGCAGAATTTCATCATCCCATCCATCACCACCTGGAATGCTGAAGGGAGCATATTTTAATGAAAGAAAAACTAGATCCAGAGTTAGATAACGTTGGCCCCAGACACAGCCCTGCTAGCTCATTACTAATGATGTAGCCTTGGACAAACGTCCAAGCCCCTCGAAGCCTGCACCTCCTCATCTCTTTATACGAGCATAGGAATAACTGCCTTGCGACATCACAGGGTTGTTAAAGTTCAAATAATATCAAGTTTCCACAGCAATCTCATGCCCAACACAAGCAGAAGGCACTGGTATGAGCCTGCTTCTCCCCTGCCACAGTCTTTTCCCTCTGAGGCGGCCAATAATTCCTCTCCTGTGTTATTGCCTTCATCATTCTCCTGCCAGGAGAACTGAAATTCAAGTGGCCCCTGTCAAACGGAGTTAGTGTGGAAGGGGACAAGGTAAAAAGGTTGTTTGGGGGCTTCACCCCACCCTCCTCACTCACCTCACGGTCACAATCTGGCCTCCATCCAGGACCACACCATTCATTTGGGCAATAAAGATGGCAGCCACTGCTTCATACAGGGCTGTACCGTCCATGTTAATGGTTGCTCCGACCGGGAGGACGAATCTGGTCACACGCTTGTCAATCCCCAGGTTTTCTTCCAGGCAACGGAAGGTGACAGGCAAAGTTCCGGCACTGAGGGACAGAGAGAGAGAGAAGGAGAGGGAAAAGGAGGGAGAAGGAGAGGGAAGGGTTAGGTCCACTGTAGAGAAGCAGAACAAAGAAACTGAAATGGCACCACCACATTTTTGTTCTTCTGTTTCAGTTGAGCAACGTGACATGCAAAAAAGCAGTGTCTGGAGCCAAATTGAAAACGAGTAATTTGGAGGCTCAAATTCACTCTTATTAACATGCTAATCGGCAGCAAAATATTTTCGTTGGTCCAGGGTTTTGAGATCTACTCAGAGCTGCAAGTTCTCTTTTTCCTTTGGTCACTATTTCCATCTTGGATTAATATTGAAGCCTTTAGTTAGAATGGAAGGGGGGGGGAAAGAGTCAGAAAAGAATCAGTTGTCAACTGAGAAATGGAATGAGGAATTATTGAATGACCCATAATTTCATGTTAGAGGCACTGATTCCAACAAGATGACTACGTGGGTTGCGTCCAGCCCCTGGGAACTGCCCTGAGCTGAGCCTGCTAATTTTGCAAAGGCTGGACAAACACATTCAGCACCATTCAGCCCGAACCCAAGCTTCTAACTACTCACTGGGGACCCTCACAGGCATTCCAACTCCCTGATAAATGGCCAACTCTACAGTCTCTCCAACGACATAGGGCAGAGAAGCATGTACTTTGTAGCTAATCAAAGACCCACTATGGAGTGACTTCACCCCCACTCCTCCCAGGCGTCACGGGATTCGTGACCACATGACCCAGCTCTAAGGTCAGAATGCCTGACAAGGTCATGCATCTTCTAAAATGAGAGACCTGTAGAGCTCAGGTTTACTGAAGACCAGGATATTATTTCCATGTGAGTAGAGGTGCCTGGGAGGGGAGGTAGACTGGCTTCAAAATTTAAGTAACATGAAAAGCAATGCAGAATACTCAGAGTTCCCCCGGATTGCTTTGTGGTCTATTCTCTCGTGTGCTTTCTTAAAATATGTTTTTATTGATTTCAGAGAGGAAGAAAGAGGAATAGAGAGATAGGAACATCAATGATGAGAGAGAATCATTGATTGGCTGCCTCCTGCATGCCCCACCCTGGGATCTGCCCACACCCCCAGGCATGTGCCCTGACAGGGATTTGAACTGTGACCTCATGGTTCATAGGTTGATGCTCAGCCACTGAGCCAGGTCGGCAGAGCCTCTTCTCTTGTTGTTTTTTGTTTGTTTGTTTGGGGTTTTTTTTGGTGTTTTTTTTTCTCTCCTGCATTTACATCCTTAGTCATAGTTCCTCCTTTTACTTTTTAGAATTAGGGCTCCAGCCAAGCCGCACAGTCACCTGCTGAGGGCTCAGTTTCTCAGGGAGTGGGAGAGGACCATCACCTTCAGAGAACCTACCTGAAATGCAGGTTCCATGGCCCGCTCCGAACCAAGGAAGTGGAAGCTGTAAAACTCAGGTCCCCTAAACCTGCATCTTATCAAACCACTGACACACAAGCTCCTAATACCAACCTAGAGAAGCCAGAGTCATCTGACTGGAACGTTCTTTGTGATTTCAGGTGAGGGGTCTGTCTCAGGCCCCCTCCTTGGTCTTAGGTAGGGAGAAGAAATAAACCCAGGGAGAGAAGAGGGAGTCTGGCTCCATTCACAGGTCGGGGTGCCATGGTACCTGGCTTGCTGTCCCCACTGCTTTCATGAGAAGTTAGGGTCCCTTTCTTACCTGCCCCTTCCCCACTCCACCCTTTCTGGGACCCCTTCGAAGGGTTGCCAGGACACCATGACTGGCCTGAAATGGCTGCCCTACCATGGCTGGCAGCCAGGATTATCAATGGTATGACTCTAAGGACACGTTTGGGAGGACTGGAATATGTTAATTTGTATTATTTCATCTATGTTCCCAAAATGTCATCCAAGGGGTCCTTAGATAATTAAACAGATTAGGGAAAATACTGATAAAGCATGAAGACATTCTCACTTTCTATATTGGACAGGCTTTGTGCCTTAACAATCCATATATACCCAACCAAGTCACACTGATTCCTGAGCATTTTAACTCCTTCCTGTCCTTCCACATCCAGACATTGTTTTTTGGCCTCCTGTCTCAATGGCTGATGACAGTCTTCGAATGTTGCTAATAACTATCAGATACTTGAGAGTTTTCCCCCAGGTTCGTTTTAACAGTGTGCACTGGAGTTGGAGGGAGGCAGAGAGGTGTGTCCCAGGCCATTTCCCCTCCATCCGCCTCCCTGACACCGGCCTCTGTGTCCACTGAGAAAAGCAGGTCAGCCCCCTCCACATCCCCACTCAGTCCAAGGTCCCAGGGGGTGGAAGGATATTTCGCTGGCTGTCCTGCGGCTCTGTTTTTCCCCCTCTGGCCATGATGGCAAAGATACTTAGTAGGTGACTCCTGTCACGTCGACTTAAAAAGTTTTTTTCTTAAAAAAAAAAAATTCCACATCCACATTTTAACTGAAGATTAAAACCACACTGGTTTCTTTTTCTTTTTTCAAATGAAATACAGGGTAAGGAGGAGAAAAGGGCCTCACATTTGTGTGGCTTTGGTCAAATAACCCAAGCATTTGATTTCAATACAAACACGCCTTTAAGATTTAGCTTGTCTTGTAAAGGTACTGGGTTAAATGTCTAGTTATTCCAAGAAAGGATAATTGTAATATTTTTGAAGCAGTCTAAAGATCAAAACCATAAATGTATTGAAACAAAATATACTGTTTTATAATCTTTTGTGCAGATGTACCTAAGCAAACTGAAATTCTAAATACGAAAGCAAAATACTGACCACTCCAACAACACACAAATTAAAAATTTCTATTGGCAGAAAGTATTGTAAAATTTTAAGATAAATGTAAAGTTGAGGGAGACCTTATTTGTCACATTTGACACGAGTTAATACTCTGGCACATGAAGATCGTTGAAAACCAATCAGGAAAGGATGAATACCCCAACAGGAAATTAAGATCACAAACAATTCACAGAGTGGGAGCGGGTGGGTGGGTAGGGCGGGATGGTCAATAAGGACACAGAAAGATGCTTCCTCTCACTCGTAATCAAAGAAATGCAAGTCCAATGAGATCACTTTTCACAATGAGACTGGAAAGCATTGAAGTAACTGATACCCGCCGGTGCGGGTGAGTAGGCGGTGAAAGGCATCCTCTCACACCCATGTAGTGGGACTTCGACTAACACACTTCCCTGATGAGCAATCTGGTGATATGTTTTAAGGCACCAACGTGCTGACCATTGCACTCAGATATTCAAGTTCTAGAAATTTATCCTGAGAGGGTCAGTTACAAGGGGATACAGTTACAAGGATGCTTGTCACAGTCCAGCTTAATAGACATGCCTTAAATGTACATCAAGGGGTGTGATGGGGGTTGTAGTGTGGTACATACAGAGTACTGTTATGCAGTTTTTTAAATAGTGGAGAGATCTATATTATATGATAGGTGTAATTTTTATGATGTGTTGACCAGTGAAAATAGCAGTCTACATATCTATGTATAGTAAGAACTGGAAAGCTATGAAACTGTAAAGATTAACTAAATGTTACCTACCACCAAAGATCACTGGGTGGTGGATCACTGGTGATGGTTAGACAGACATGAGTGGAGCAAGGACAATGCTCCAGGGACAGAAACTCACCAGGGCAGAAAGCCTGGATGCCTACCAAGGGGCAAAACTGGGAAAATAAGAACCTAGCCTCCAGAGTAACCTATGCTCCCCTAGCATATCACTGGCCAGGCGGTTTAGAACCCTTGACCTTTTCCTCCCTAAAGATAACATCTAGGCCTCAGTTGTATTTCAGCTCCAGGTCCATCTAGACGGGTGACACTGTGGCTGCCTCAGGACCAGCTACATTGACTTATGACCCCCTGCCCTGACACTGACCAACCAGGGGAGACCTGGACCCTGAAAAGGCACACCTGGAAAGCTGATGAATATTCTAGTAAGCCACTCCCCTGAGACCTCCCCTAAGATTCCCACCTACAAGAAAGACATAAATATGCTCAGGATAAAGGACCTAGTTTGCGCTCTCCCTCCAAGGAGCATGCCCATGCCATTCCCTCCTCCCTTCTCCTTCCCCGACATGCACGTATCCCCCAACCTCTAAGGGACCCCATGAGACTTGCAACCATGGGAGCAATGGGCAGTGGCAGCTTGTCCTGGGTTAGCCCCTTGAGCCTGTCTCCAAGGCCCCCTTTCCTCTGACTTCTCAGTGAGTTAAAGCAGCCCAGCCCAGGCTCTGCTGTTACTTCTCCTATGCCCTTCCTTGTTTCACTGTCCTAAGTAGATTTTTGCTGCGGTCATGAACCCTACACCCTTTGGATAGCCCTATTCCCCTATCCCCTTTTCCTTAAATAAATTTAATTTTTCTTTATTCACCATCTGAGATGGCTATTTAGCCTGCCTGCGCACTACCACTTAAACCTTTCAGTGATATTCATTGTCTTCTTCAAAAATTTACTCACTGTCTGAACTTTTCACAAGGAGCACATACCTTGCTCATAAACCAGAAAGCAAAACTAAAACTCAACATAATTGTTTTTGTGTTTGGAGGAGAAAAAAAATATTTACTTTTTCTCCAAAGAGAGAGGATCTTTATGGATAGAGATATATTGCCATAGGAAATGTAGAGGCCCCCAAAAAGAAAAAGAAAATTCTGAAATGTTTCCTTTCACCTTAGAAAACAATGCAGAACCTAGAGCCCAGAATTGTGTAGATTTCAGATTTTCCTGAAACCCCACATGCTGCTAGTCCTGAATCCTCACTGATTTGCAACATGGAAATATACTTTGGCTTCCCAGACAGTCACCACGATGTGCCTGTTAGGTCACTTAAGGAAAACCTGGCTGCCTGCTCAGTCTCCCTGTGTCACGGAGCCGCCACCTCACTGGCAGCGCGGGGTCACGGGATCTGCAACAAGGGCCTGCCAACATGGCTGCAGAGATAATGCTGGGCCACCCTGCCACCTGCTTTATGACCTCAGTCTTAGCTTGTGACCCAAGGAAATACAAACAACTCCTGCAGACTGAAAGAATAAATTACCAGGCATGTCTTATGTATCTGTGCTTGTTTGTTTGTTTTGGTTAAATTCAGTCCAAGATGATATAAAAAAATTATTTTCTCTGAGTATCTTTGGGCCCTCATTGGCTTCTGAGGTGGTTGAACTAGGTAGTGAAGAAGAATGTCGAGTCAATGTCAAGCCCAATTTTCTCAAAATCAATGTGGCAGAAAGGTCCATTAAAGGTTCACACAGAGGTCAAAGACTGGACTGACTTCTGGTTTGTTTGAAAACTCTCACCCAGCATACCCTTTATCCTCTAAAAGCTTGTTCTCCCATTTTTGAAAAAAAATTACTCCAATAGACTGATATTTTGTGATAGCATTTTTTTCAAATCACAGGTAGCAGAATTTCTTGAATAGAACAACACCCTGTTATACCCTTTTGAAGAACATTTAAAACTAATAACTAAATGCTACATGTGGCAGGTTAGGCATTATAGATTAACTAGAGGCCCGGTGCACGAATTCATGCATGGGTGGGGTCCCTCAGCCTGGTTGGTTATCAGGGCCGCTGGGGGCAGGCCAGCCTGGGGGTAGGGACCATAGGAGGTTGGCTGGCCATGGGAGGTTGGCTGGTCATGGGAGGTTGACTGTGGAGCGCATTGACTACCAGGGGGCAGCTCCTGCATTGGGCATCTGCCCCCTGTTGGTCAGTGCATCATCATAGCGACCAGTCAACCAGTCTTAACAGTTGCTTAGGCTTTTATATATATAGATAGCATGCATTCATTTGGTAAATTTCATGTGAAGTCATGTTTCCAACACAGGTTGCCTAACAGCAAAAACGTTCATCAGAAAGCTCAGAAGTTACTAGAAGGAGTCCAAAAGATAAAGTGTTCACCTTTTTCAAAAAAAAATATCTTAATAAGATATGAAAAGTGTTCTCATTGAACTTTGGGTTGGGGAAGATTTTAAAAATGAGGAAGTGGCAAAGAGGGTCAAACAGTGAGCAGAGAGAAAGAAAGGTGATTTCTGGGTTCTCTACCTGGAAGCGGTGCCCAGGGCAGTGATCCAAGCTTGGAAAATGCCAGCAAAAAAGGTGAAAGGGTTTTTTCTGGTCACTAGAAAGTAAATCAAGGGGAGAAAGATGCCCCCATGGATGATGAGGCCCACAATCACGGTGACCATGTACATCCCCAGTTGCCGAGCAACCACTTCTAAGTCCTTGATGGCAATGATCTTCCCACAGATTAAACAGGCAATACCCAGCGGGGAGTACCTGAAAAACATAAAAGGAAAAGAAAACACCGAAGAAATCATTATGGGAGCCAGAACTTACATCTGGGCCTTCCTATGTTGCTGCGCCCTGATGTAAACTTTGCATTTGTTCAGAGTTTTGCTGACAAAGGGCCATGAGACTCAGTAGATGCTACATGTTACTTCAGACTAAATGCATCATCTAAAATCTGGCACACGGATTTGGTGACTCCTGCTCTGACAAAAAATCCAAAAGCAAACTTTGTTGCTCAGGCAATTGTTTAGGAATAGTAGAGACAAGCTTTACCATCTCTTAGGGAAGCACCAATCTTAAAATTGAGAGACCACAGGCTACATCTTGTTTGACTTGTCTTTCCACAGCTCCTGCCTTGAGACTTGGGAACAAATTTTGAGCTTCTCAGAAAGCTCGTTAGAGTTTTCACAAATTACGAACTGGTGTTTGTAAATTTGCTTTGTTTTCACCTTGGAAGATAGGAAATATATTTAAGAGGGAGAAAGAGAGAGAGGGAACACAGAACAAGAAAATCATCTGAGTCAAACAGTACCTTGAGAGAAATGTGGCTTATCACTTCTAAGTCTGAAAGTATTCCTTTCCATACTTACTCTAACAATAACACTGGCTCTCTAACAGAGCCCTGCACACACATCGCCTCATTTAATTCTTACCATAATCCTAAAATCTAGGTGTCATTATCTCTATTTGGCAAATGAGGAAATTGAGGCTGGACAAAGTCTTGAAGCCGGCCCAAGACCATGAAAGTAGAAAGAGGAGAATCTCAGATTTGTAACCCTGCATGACTAGGGTTCCCCCACTACCAAGTCAAAGCACTTCCCTTTAATGAGCAACCGTAGTTCTTTGTAGATAAGCAGACAATTCACCCTGTATCAAAGCATCCTACATAAGCTCATTTTATTATCATCATCATCATCATCATCATCATCATCATTATTTTATAGAGCGCTTGGGAACAATTTATTGTTGTCCTCACTCTTCAGTAAGCTAATCATGTTCCTCTCATTTCAAGTGTGTTTGTCACATGTTTGGCAACATCCCTTTTTTCTTGCCCAATTTGGGGCTGTTGGAGCTTGAACTTGCTTGAACACCGTCTGACTGAAGGAAATGTTTGTGGAAACGATGCTGTCTTATTAAGAATTATGAGAGCAAGTCTCTGAGGAAAATGAAATCCTGGGATGGGGCTCCCAACCGGAGTAAGGGAGCCAAAAGAGGGAGAGAGCACCTATGCCAGATTCGGGAGGTTGGGTTTTTTTGTGTTTTGTTTTGTTTTTATTTTTGTAATTGTGCCTGGAGCAAGCCCTTCCCAGGCTAAAGGAAAGCTTCGAGGAGTAGAAGAGAATCATATACACAATTACATAAAACACGGGGCTCATCCAGCCACGTACCAGCTGCATGGCCTTGCTTAGTGACTCATTCCCATGTTACAGATGTGCCAGTCGAGGCTTAGAGAGACTCCTCCAACCTCCAGGGGTTGCTGGGAGGATTACATTGTGAACACGCACATGTATGCAGTCAACCATCGTCCCCCATCCCTGCCAGCACCATTACTTCTCTGACGCCTACACAGGAATCCTTCTATGTTCTGTTTCCCTAAATACACCTATGTCCTCTCATCACCCACTCAGCTTACTGAGTCCAGTCTGAGTTACTGAGGCTTTCTAAAACATCTCACAGGCTTCTGTCACCCAAGTGTGGATGTTTTTACCAGCAAAATATTTTCTCAAGAGGAACCTTCTCCTGAAAGAGGCGATTTGTAACTGAATGAATTCGTTAGGACCTGCCCTCCTCCCTGACGAGCTGCTGCCAGTAACCCCACTTCTCCTTTCCCTGGGGTGGAGGCTGACCGTGTGTGAGGGCTGCTTCCGCAGGCATCGGGGGTCATGTCCTTAAACCCCTGGCTTTCCCGCCATTTTACTGCCATGCCTGTGGTCACAACAGCTCACAGATCAGCGGGGGAAACTCGGGGGCCAGCTCCTTGTTCCCTGAGATTTTAAATAACTGAGCAAAATGTACCTTCCCATAAAGCCAGCAAGCATTTTCTTCATAAACCAAGAGATTAATTCTTTCCAAAGCACCCATCACCTTTTAAAGATGTACCTTTTAAAAACCACACACACACACACACACACACACACACACACACACACACAAATACAAGCTGTTTGGGGTGCCATCCAATTTTCCTGCTCCTTGGGGACAATTTGTAGACTGGAGAGAAAATGTTTTCAAGCCTCTTTGCCAAGCAAGACCAGCTACGGAGTCCCCTGGAGAACACGCCTGAACCAGAGCCAAATGGATTAGAGAGGCAACAGGTTGCCTTGGAGCACTCAGCTCTCTGGGAGAAACAGGAGTTCCCACTATAAATGGGATGTGTTCAAAGGCCAGAAGGTATAGTGTTAGGAGAAATAAATATGGCAAGCAGGGCTCTAGTTGACCCAACACCTTGAACTCGGGAACTAGAATGAGCACTAATTAGGACAAGGAAAGAGTCTGTTTTATGACATATTTTAGGGCCATTACGTCCCTGCACCTGTTTTTAAAACACGTAGCTGAAGCCTCCACTCAGAATCTGACGCTTTTCAGTTCTTGGGTTTCCATATTAATGAATTATCTCATTGAAAACAACCCGCATGGAAAAGAAAGGGCAAATGCCTGGGGTCCAAGGTCACCACTAGAAGCTTCTGAGCCAAAGCAAAGAGTCAAAGCCATAAACTAACATGCATAGAGAAGCTGAGGGCTCCAGTGAGTGATCTGAAGCCAACTGATGCCTGGTAATTGTTGGACCAGTTTTTAAATGAGAAGGAAATGACTACAGAGCTCACAGCCCTTAGGCTGGTTGTACCTTCAGCTCCGGGCACTGTTTTCAAAACCATCAGTTCACCCAGGACTGGCCTGTCGAGTCGTTTCCTTACCGTTTCACCATCCATTCTTTCCTCTGCTCACTTTGTCCCTCAGTCCTTGTCATCTAAGGTTCCCACCAAGATGCCTCCCTTAGGGTCTGCTCTCTAGTCCGCAAACACAAACTCATTCACAGCACTCCACATACCCAGAGCTCAGTCAGTGTCTCTGTGCCTTCGTAGGCACCTGCTTCAGAATCACCTGGCGTGCCTGGTACCAACATGGATTCCCCAAGCCCATCACGTACCTACTGAGTTAGCATTTCCTGGAGCTGGCCTTGGGACAGTAAAATTTTAAACAAGTTCCCAAGGTAATTCCGACGAGCTTGGAAACCCATGTTTCAAAGAATAAAATCTGATCTGCAACTGAGGTAATGCAGATATTGCTTGGTTAGCCTTTGGAAACCATTTACTTTAGCTTCAGTTTATTCAAGGCCTGTTGGATCTTAACCCACTAAATTCACTCAGGACTTTCGGGCACAGGACAGATACTAGGCCAGACACTTGGAGTGGAGGTCAGTGGAGTTAAATCTTTAGGAATTTGGGATTCAGTGAATAAAAAACTTTCTCAGTCTTGCCATAAAGCCACTCTGGTTCTGTCCCACACATTTCCCACAGCAATGCCAGCCTGCCAGTTTGGAATGGATTTCAAGAGAACGTAGAATTGGAGGAGTAGGTCAATAAAGAGTTAAAGATACATTCCAATTACTTACAGGCACTGTCTGTACTCAGGCTCAGGAAAGAACACAAATCTCGTTTGCCCACTTAGGGAGAGGTGTTCCGGCTCCCCAAGGTGTGACTTTTGCTGAGTTTTACCAGATGTAGGTTAGAACTTTTCATCAGAATGGAGTAGACATTCGTTCATAGAGCCTCCAGGCTGCTAACCCTCTGGGGACTGCCTTTGGCAAATGCATAAAAGCTCAACTCATGACGGTGGCCTGTAGGGCCCTGTGGGCTGCCCACCTCTCCAGCTTCACCACCTTCCACTACCACCCCCCTTACCAACCACATTCCAACTACTCCAGACCTTCCTTTTGAGTCTCAAAAATACTTCACTTGCTGTTTGTTCCCCCGGAAAATTCTCCTCTTGATTCTTATAGAGCTGCTTCTCTCTCAGTCTTCACCAAAAGTCACTTTCCCAGACAGTCCTCCCTGACACCACCTGTGAGAGTTCACTCCTTACTTCCATCCTCCCCATAACTCTCTATCCTATTTCCCAGACTATTGACTTTGTAGTGGTGATTACTATATGAATTTTTGTTTCCTTCCTTTCATTTTCCCCCCTCTCTCCTTTCAATAGAATGTAAGCTCCATGAGGGTAGGAATCTTTCTCGATCTTATTTACCATTATATCAGAAGTGCCCAAAATTCTTATTGGCATTGAAGAAATATTTGTGGAGTGAAAGAACAGATGGATGGATGGATGGATGGATGGATGGTGGTGGGTTAACTTAGAGGGATAATTGAAAAGGTGAGCAAAGATTTCACTTCTCACTTTATGTTTCTATCATGGTGAGATTATAAAAAGTTCCCGTTTCTGTTTAAGTTTTTAAGATTAAAAAATATTTTAAAGAACTTTGCAAAAAATGAGGATATGAAAATCACACCAAAATCAAGGGTCTCTCACTCTCTCTCTCTCTTTTCTGAGAATCAGAGATTTTTGCAGGCTTCTTAAAGAATTCATAACAGAGAGAAACAAAGGTTATGATTGAATTGATGATAGTAATGGGAACCATAATATAACAATAAAAATACTAGTGCATGTGAAGTGCTTAGACAGGTGCCAGCACGGAGAAAAAGCTCAACTATTGGGCACAATTTCACTTAATTCTCACAGAAATTCTCTGATGTGGATTTTATAATCAATCATTTTGCAGATCAGGAGGTGTGGGTTAGAGTGTGTTTAACTTGCCTAACGTCACACAGCTGGTAGTACTAGTAGGAGGAGGACCCTGGATTCCATCCAGCTTGAAGTCAGACAGAAGCTGAGTTAGGTACTATTTCCATGCAGCTCCTATCACTTAGGCTGTGCAACACTGAGCAAGCCAACCTCTTAGTTTTCTCATCTGGAAAATGGGGCTAACTAAAGTACCTATTTTTCTTAGGTATTATTGTAAAAAGTAAATTAGTTAATGCATGTAGAGTACTTGGAATAGTAGTAAGCCTAATTCAGGAATTCGGTAAGTCTTAGTATGGTTTTAGTAATGATTATAGCTTGGCCGGCATGGCTCAGTGGTTGAATGTTGACCTATGAACCAGGAGGTCATGGTTCAATTCCAGGACAGGGCACATGCCCGGATTGTGGGCTAGATCCCAGTTGGGGGTGTGCAGGAGGCAGCTGATCCATGATTCTGTCATCATGGATGTTCAATTTTTCTCTTCCTCTCTAAAATAAATAAAAAGGTATTTAAAAATAATGGTTATAATAATTATTATCTTCTCAGTAATAAATAGGTGCAATTGCATATGGCAAGAAGTTAATTACTCTAAGCTATAATTTAATAATTATTAGAATAATAATAATCTCTCCAATGTTAAATTTGCTATTATTACTATTCTTACTAACACATAGAGAAGAATACACTAGGAACTCTGTTTAAGCTTTGAGGGAGTCAGTTAAAGAATGGTTGGCTCTTTTATCCAGAACCTTTTCACACTCTTTGTTATCAACTGCTGACAAGGCAGCTTAAGAATGAAAGAAATGTGCAGCATTGGCATCTCATATCTTGTAACACCCTCCTGACTGCCTAGATGAGGTAACTAACAGCTGTCAGAAATCATCCCGTAGGTCTTATTCCTGACTCACAATTGCTCTACATCTCCTGGGATATGATGCTAAATCCTTAGGAGTTCTGATTTCAGTGAATAGGAAACTTCTTGATTCACACCTCCCTCTATCCCTGGGGAGAAGAAAGGCTGCATTTTATCCCGTGACTCATCTGATTTCCTAGAAGATTCCCTTTCTTTCAAGGGCTCAGTGGAAATGACGTTGGTATAGAATAGATGAAGGAAGGAGCTTTCATACAACACCCACATCATTGGCATCATAATACAGAGATCTGAATGAACTGCATTTTAAGGGCAAGGATGCTCACTCTGCTGCAAGGTCTAGAAAACAAGAGTTCTATTCTGCTTTATGTAACACCATTTATTAAATTCTCTGTGAGCTCATAATGGATTGAAAAGACTTTAAAAAATTTTTTTACAGCATCATATTGTGTGTGACTTTAAATCTTCACACGAAAGAAATATTCAGAAACCTAATATTGCCCGAAGAAGTGGCAGAATCAGTACAATAGAAAACAACACAGTAAAACAATAATCTGAACAAGCCAGGTGTATTAAATGTGGTTCATGAAATCACAAAGACCATCTTATGATCTGAGACCCTGGGGCAGCGGTTCTCAACCTGTGGGTCGCGACCCCTTTGGCGGTCGAACAACCCTTTCACAGGGGTCGCCTAAGACCATCCTGCATATCAGATATTTACATTACAATTCATAACAGTAGCAACATTACAGTTATGAAGTAGCAACAAAATTAATTTTATGGTTGGGTCACAACATGAGGAACTGTATTTAAAGGGCCAGAAGGTTGAGAACCACTGCAGGGCTTCAGCTAGCCCAGGTCTGAAGTTTAATAAGAACTTACTACAGGCACATCAGTGTGTTCCAGTCAGTGGAGATAAAAAAATCAAGAATAGATTTTTGTCTTTGTAAGGTGGGAGCAGGGACCAAAGAAAAGAAGAAGAAAGAAGGTAAAATATCATGGAACATCACGGAGAAGGGGCAGAGGACCAGAGGGAGGTTGGGGGCGAAGGTGAGTAGGACTGGGACATGAAGATATGGGGAGTTCGTCACCCAGAATTCCTGTGGTTTGGTCTAATAATGTTTTGTTTTGTTTTGTTTTGTTTTTCCTAGTCGGCATACAGGACCATCATAAAGGTCTGAAACAAATGCATGTAAAAATCTGTCAGATTCGGGACCACTAGAAGGTTCCAGCAACAGAAGATGGCACGGCTTCCTTGGTGAAGGAGTGGACACTCATGATCTCCTGGGCTACCCCAAACTTCAGAACATAGACCACAGACACACATGAAATGAAGTGGAGACGTTATCGCTTAGATGATTCAAATGAAAGTACCCCCACCCACTTTCCCATCAAGGATTTTTATAGCAATATGATGAACTCCAGCTCTCCTTAGCTATATAATCTTAGGCAAGTCCATTCACCCCAGTGAGCCTCAGTTTATTTTTCTGTAAAATGGGAATGATATTCACCTTTGCAGGGTTGTTGGGATTACATCTGACAGGTACTAAGCACCTATCCTGGCTCTTGGCTGATAAAAGAAAATCAATAAATGATAGCTTTTATTATTACCCTCATCATGATGTTAAAGAATCAAAATTTAGTGTGTTTAGGCCACTGTCTTCTCTTCTGTAAAATCAGAAGTGGCCAGATTCCCAAGAGTACTTACAGTTCTAATATATCTTCTGTGATTTCACTTTTGCTTGCTTGGTCTGAGAACTGCCTCTTTTTTCTTGTATTTGATTCATGAGTAACTGGGTCAAAGATGCACTGCTTTTGGACATGAGGATACTGGGGCAGTGGGTCATGCCATATCCCTGGTATCTTGGGCTTATTTTAATTTCCTGATACTGCTCAGCTTCAGTATTACTGATTGGTTTTTCCAGCTTATCTCTCTTTCTCTCTCTCTCTTTTATTTTCCTCTTCCAGGACAGGGATCAGCAAACTCTTTATAGAAAGGGCTAAGTAGTAAACATTTCAGGTTTTTCAGGCTACCCAGTCTTGGTCAGAACTACTCAGCTCTGCCATTTAGCATAATAGCAACCCTAGGTAATATGCAAATAAGCAGGTGTGGCTGTATGGCACTGATTGTCAATTCATATAATGTCCATGCATTATAGAATATTATTACTCTTGATTTTCCCCCCCAAACAAAATAAATACACAACACCCATTCTCAACTAGCAGGCCCTACAAAATAAATGGCAGATAGAATTTGGCCCACGGGCTAATTTTTTTAAAAAAAGATTTGCATCTCTTTCTCAAAGTCCTTCCAGAGAGCCCTTTGCTTGGTCCACACCCAACCCACTCTTTCCTGCTGGGAGGGCTCTCATATTTTCTGGGGACCCCAAGACCTCCTCACCCCCTATCCCCCACAATGAAGAAGAACAATCCTACTCACCACATGATCATGATCACTAACTTCATTACAATCTCATTCAAGATGCTGAAGAATTCCACCATCAGCTTGGCCTGCTCGCCCATCTTCCCCATGGCGATGCCGAAAGCAATGAAAAACCCTATCAGACCTGTTGGGTGAATCACATTGCACAGAAGGACACAACATTATTAAATCTGTGTTGCTTCTTGCGTGTCCTTTACCATCCCCGATGTATGGAGCCACATGCTCATGCCTGCGACCCACCCTGTGAATGAGGCACGAAAAGACAAAAGAGTTAGATGTCAAAAGCGTCATACCTTCCCCCAATAATGATGGCTTCCCTCAACACTGTACCTGAGCCAGTTGAACTATCCGCAGTGTTAGCTCCTTAAAGAGAATGAATTCATTTTCATTCCAAATTAAAAAGTACTCTCTACTTTCTCCTCCTCACGGCATAATGTGTAAGCAGATTTTATTAGTCCATAGATTAATTGAAAAAAAGAATGGTTTGTTGGGACTTGGGGATTAGCATGCAAACTTTGGAGCCAATATGAGAATAGCAGAGACCAATTAGCCAATAAAGCCTCTGCTAGGGTCATGTCTATATTGGTTTGGTGTTATCCCAAATTAATGCATGGCTGATATGTTTCACTCTAGGAAAATCCTAAACAAAACATTCCTTTTCTATGGCTACTGTCTAACGTAAGAAGGAAGAGGAATGTTGAGAAATCAAAGGGAAAGCAAAGAGAAATCCAAAACAGTTGGGAAACCCCAAATGACCTAGTTTGTTGGGTTTAAGCTGTTAGTTATTAATTCATCATAATTTTTTTTCATGGTCAAAATGATAAGAATGATTTTTAAAATTGTATTTTTTTCCGGATCTTAAAGACAGAATTTAGACATTGTTACTTCTTAGCCCTTCAGCCCTTCCCTTCACTTGATATCTATCAGTTGACTTACATCTAAGTCCAGCCCCACTTTAGCGTCTGGCGTCAATCTTAACAACCCCACCAGAGGATTTGAGGAGCTCCATCCCCGTCTCTTAATGTTAGCATCAAATTGCAGTAAGGCCTGGACCAACTCCTACACTCAACCTTGGGTCTTATTTCTGTGTTAGTTTTTGCCTCATTCCCTGTGCCTGAGTTTTTAGTGCTAGGAACCTACCCTATACACTAGTTCCTTTAAGGCCTGTCTGGCCTGGATTCTCACTCAGATCACCCTGGGTGGGGTGCACTACATGGCTAACAAACGTCCCCATGACTGCCTGGAGACTGTCTGGATTTCTGATTGCCAATCACCATGTGCCCACCAATCCCCCTCCTGGCCCAGTATTGCTCCTCTTGGGGCTCCATTTCTGACAACTTGCAAGGACTATAAATCAATGTTGCTGTCCCCTTGGCTACAGGATCTTGCTGCCCACCTGACTTTCCTCTCTGATGTGCAGTATGGGCCAGCCTCTCTCCCCTCTCTCTTCCCCCTCTTCCCCACCCCTAACCTGTGCCAGTTTGGCAGGCCCAATTTCCAGTCCCTCCCTCTGAGAGCCAGTTTCCTATGGTGTCCAGTTATTGATAAAGTCTTGAGCTATATCAGGGAAATTGTAATATAATCCAATCATCTGATCCTTAGAAAGGAATTCTTTCTCTAAAACTCTGATTTCACCCTTTCCCTAGTCACCAAATCCACTTACCACCCCACACCAAGCACATATCAAGCCAGATTACTCAGCTGCCCTTCACTGGACCCTCTCTGTCTTCAGCAAAAAGAATCCAGTCCTTGCACTCGGGGTTGTTAATCCTCCACATTTAGTATTTCCCCTTTTCAGCTCTTGGCCAAGAAGACTGACAAGGTGACTTACAAGGGAGTTACTGGCCATGAAGGCAACGGCTCAATGAGAATTAGATCCAGGAGAGAGAGGGTGGCCTAACTCGGCAGCAATGTATGAGATCAAATCCAGGCTATCCTCAAGCCCTTCTCTTGAGCCCATGGAGAGGAGTTTGTGAGGTGCATGTAATCTGTACATTCTGGCCGAGAGCAGCAGCTACTATTACTTGGTTAATCTCATTTGGAAAATTTAAGAGAAAATGAGCAAGATCTCAAAGTCCCAAAGAACTGGAATTAAAAAGTTCCCCTTGCAGCGTCAGCAGAAACTGGCCGTATCCATGAGTATGAGAGAGAGCTGTTTAAAGGAGCAATCAGTGGGCCGTGGAGTGGCCGAGCAGCCTAAGGCACTGGATTAAAGGAGCATTCTCCCACAGGCCGTTTAAGCAGTTGGGATTCGTGTGCAGCCCAGAAGTGCTCTGGAGGTTTTCTGGGAAAGAAATGAATCTTTTAAAAAGTGTGAGGCCAGAGCCAGGGTTTTATCTTTATTTATTGCAATGCTTGATCCTTGGGACTTTCCAAAGCCAAAAACAAAACACAAAGAAATTCACCATCTCCGCCTTTGGAAACATGGAAAGAACCGTTATTTCAGCTGCGATTTGTAAATGGGAAGTTTCTCAGCAGCCTAACGGCCCTTGGCTTCCCAGAGCCTCGAAGGGCAGTCGAAAGCCCTGTCCAGCTCGTTATTTCCCTCTGGAAACACTGACTCACTGGACTCACGCTGGAACAGTGGTGTTTCACTTGAACAGAGCCCTCTCAGACTTGGTCACTGGGATTGAGAGAGTAGTGAGTTGTGTTGAAACTCCCCAGTAGTCAAAGGTTGCGTGACTTCCCAGAATCCACCGAGACTCTGGAAAAGACCTTGAAAGTTTCCTGAATGATTCACTCCAAAGCCCTGGAATTACTCATGGCTTCAACTTCCTCCAGGAAAACTGTGGAGCCATGTTGACCACTGGGTTGGGGAAAGCAAGGGTAGTTGGGAAGGTCCTGACATAGTCACAGCTATCTGGGCAGTGGGAGACAGGAGCTACTCAGGGGTGGATGCTGAGGACATTTGCAAACCCTCCTTCTCAGAGGACTCTTCCACTCTCTCCTCTCTCCTTCCTCCTTTTTCTCACACTGATGTCAACAGTGTTTGTTTATCTTCCATTGCCTGGCAACCAAGTCAGCTTATCACCACCCTCAGTCCCACTTACTCAACACTTACCCAACCTGCTTCCTGCCAGGCCAAAAAAAAAAAAAAAAAGAAAGAAAGAAAGAAAAAAAGGAAAAGAATGCTTTTCAGTAGCTGCACAATCCCACCTCTTCTCCCCCCACCTCTTCAGACCATTCTGGATAAACAGGAGTAGGGTTATCAAATTTAAAATAAACAAACAGGTTACCTAGTTAAAATTTGAATTTCAGATAAACAATACATAAAAAAATTAATTGATTTTAGAGAGAGAGGAAGGGAGAGGGAGAGAGAGAGAAACATTGACCCACTGCCTCCTGCACGCCCCCTACTGGGGATTGAGTCAGCAACCTAGGCATGTGCCCTGACTGGGGATATACAACGACCTTCTGGTGCATGGGACAACATTCAACCAACTGAGCCACACTGGCCAAGGCAAAAAAATTTTTTTTAAAAAATATCAGTATGTCCCATGTAATATTTGGGCCATTCACTAAAAAAAAAAATATTTGTTGTTTATCTGAAATTCACATTTAACTGGGCATTCTGTATTTTATCTGACAAGCCTACTACAGAGGCGAGGGCATTCAATCTCCTAGATGGCCAAGTGGAAGGACCACTGAGCTCTCCCTAAACAACTCTCCCTCGAATCCTTAGAAGTCTTGCTTGCATGGATCAACATACTTCCTTCACCCAGATTCCCCATTTTCCCCAGTTTGTGGCCAATGTCCCTCTTTCTTGTCTTGGCGACACCATTCTAATAGTGATGGGACTGGAGTCATTCATTATTAGGAACTCTCTCCTCTGTGGATGGTGTTTCCTTATCGAATTGGTTCCTCAGCTCACCTTTAATAATGATAGTAGCACACATGAATGAAGCCCGTGGCATGTACAATTGTGTTCTACATGCACAATCTCATTGAACCTTCATAATGATCTACAAGGGAAATGCCCATCCCATCCCCACTTTACCAATGAAGCTCGAGAAGCGAGGCAACTGCCTATGGTCAGGCAACCAGTGAGTGGTCCATAAGGGACCCAAACCCAGTCTGTCCAACTACAGAGGCCAAGAACCTCTAGGATGGAATACAAAGAAGGCTCCGGGCTAGGGGAAAGGGCTCATTAGAATTCCAGAAAGTTAAACAAGATAGTCTCCTTTTGATAAACTTCTCTTGACACCAACACTTTATATTCCTGATAGCACTGCATTTGTTTATAGACTGTGAGAGCTAGGGTGGGATAACCCCCATGCCTAGCACAGTACTGATATACAAGGGCAACTCAAACAAAAATGCTTAAGAAATGAAAGAATTGGATGTGTAACTGCATGAAATGGAGAGTCAGAGAAAGTGACTTGCCCACACCACGCAGAAAGTCAGGGATTGTATCCAGTGCCTGTTTATCCTGTGTCTTTCCCCATCCCTGACCTCTACTCATCATGCCCTCTCCTGGTACTGCGGCTGCCCATCTTCCTCTTCCTAATCCCTCTGCTCTCAGCCCCAGTGGTCCTCCAACCACCCTCCGGCTCCACCTAGCGGACAGCAGAGTCACTGGCTTTCTGAGGAGGGAGTGAGGGATGCTGGGCTGCTGAGATGCAGGAGAGGCTGGCCATTGTCTCTGAGGCAGGGATGCCTTCCCCAGGGAGATGAATACCAGGTTGCCTACCTAAGACATTCATGCCGTCCTTGAACTCCAGACCCTTCTTGATAACCACCTTCATTTCCTCTGGTGCCTCTGTCGCAGTCTGGGTCAGCAGGGAGACAACAGAGGTTGTGACATTGCTCTCCTCTTCTGACTCAGGCGCCTCCAGGACTTTCTTCGTCACCGTTTGAATCTAATGGAGTGAAAGAGAAAAACACAGAAAGATGAGGTTTGGTCTAAAAGGTTACCAGAAGCCTGGCTGCTTATGTGTTTTTAAGTTCCCCGTTAGGTTAAAAAACAATTAGGAAGTACCAAAACAAGGTTATGAAAATTAGGGAACATTTTATATTTGTGTTTAACAGAGTTTTGTTTTGTTTTTTTATACACATACTAGAGGCCCGATGCACGAAATTCATGCAGGGGGCTTGGTCCTTGCAGCCACTTGCAGCCTTGGCCAGCCCTCGCAGTCCTGGCTTCTTCTGGAAGGTCGCCCGGAAGGACATCCGGCTGTTCGGTCTAATTAGCATATTAGCTCTTTATTATATAGGATGGTGAGATACGACTGTCCTCGTCACATGATAATTACAGGGCCTATAACACGCATTGGTACCATGCTACAGACAGAAGGCTTTAGTGATGGGACATGAGCTTCAAGTGTCTGTTTGGGGGGGGGGGGAGTCTGTTTCTTTTATTCTGGTGATTGTAGCTCTGTCCCTCAGCACAAGGTCAAATGTCCCACACGGACATTCTTCATAACTGTGAGGCCCTGTTGGATGACCCTCCCAGTCCCTCATGAGGGAACTTGGTCGAGAAGAGGAGGGCAGGGTCTTGGCGGGAGGTAGACCAGCACCACGTGATCTGCCTGTTTAGCTCCTTCCTGCCTGGCTCCCGTGGGACAAAGTCTGCACAGACCAACTCGTGTGGGTCCGCCCAGGGCCAGGCTCTGCTGGGATCTCCATCTGGGTGCCAGATGTGCCAGCCGCCAGCAGCCACCACGGCAGGGGTGTTGGCCTGTATTTCAGATCCAGATGTAAGGTGGGGAGACATCTGCTCCTTCTAGCTAGTGATGCCAAGCCTTACTCGGTGTCCCCAAGCATCTCTGTGCAAATGGCCTCCCAAGAACCTCTCATGCTATTCCTCGATGTCTGTGGCAGCCGTCCTATTTTTAAAGGTGCCAGGCACCCTGCGTGCCGAGTGCTGTGAAAACCCACATCTGAGCCCAGAGAAACACTACCGCCGGGAGCATTAAAATAGAACTCATGTGGGGTCCTAGAATGTCAGCACCGGCATGTAGAAGGCAACAGATGGCTGAACCCTGAATAGATATGTAAAAGGAAGCATGGAGAACTCAAGTGACTTGTCCAACGTCAGAGAGTTATTGGCAAAGCTGGGACTTGAACTCAGATGGCCTGACCACCACTGAGTTCTTTCCACCGCATGTGCTACATGATAAACTCTATGGCCCAACCCTGCTGCAGCTGGACCCAAAGCTAGGCAATGCTTGTCTGAGCATTGATCGGAAATAGGAGAGAACCAAGCACAGGGTTCTCCGAAGTGTGGCAGGGTGCTCTCTGCCAGCCTGGCCACAAGCTCTTGCTCAGGGAGGGAGAAAGCCCAGGCTGAGTGTGTGATGTGGGGAACAGGTAGGTGTAGGCCCCTTGGTCTGGGCAGTGTTGGCATGAAGAGAGAATTCAGGATTGCCCAGCTGGTGTGGCTCAGTGGTTGAGCATCGACCTATGAACCAGAAGGTCATGGTTCAATTCCCGGTCAGGGCACATGCCCAGGTTGTGGGTTTGAATCCCCAGGAGGAGGTACGCAGGAGACAGCTGATCAATGATTCTCTATCATTGATGTTTCTATCTTTCCCTCTCCCTTCCTCTCTGAAATCAATAAAAGCATTTAAAAAAAAAAGACAGAACTCCATGAGCATCCATGACCAACAGAGCCATGCTCCCAGGAACAAAAGGACCACAGGAGCCAACTGCAGACCTATCCTGAGATACTAAAGCAACTAAGGCTTGAGTTCAAAGCAAGTGACTTCATCTTCTAAGCAGCTGGCTCAGCACATTACACAGAGAGAGTGCCAGTAAGCACCCCTTCCTGAGCCTGTTTCCATCCGCTCCCCATCCGGCTCCCCCAGCCGGGAATGGCTCCTGTTAGTATAGCTCCTTGTTATAAGTGGCACCAAAGTGGCATCGGGAGTCGGAGGACCTATCCCAACCCAGAGTAATGGAGGCTCAGCAGTGGTTGGCAATTGCATTTTGGGGGCAGCTGGGAATATGGGATTTTCCTTTAAGTGACCTATTTCCTAAGGCCATTCTTCTGTGATTCCCTGGAAATGGCTGGAGGAAGCTTCTTGCTTCTAGTTTAGTTTCCACTGGAGCTGATGGGAACTGAAGTGTATTCCAACCTGAACTGGCCTTGGGGCCAGACAGCAGGCTGGTGAGTGGGCACCAGGCAGCTATTTCAGCGGTTCCACTCAGCAGAATCATCTGTTTTTAAGAATCACAGTTTTAAAAATAGATGTGCCTATTGGCAGTTGGTAGAAGTATACATCGCTGCAAACTTTTGTAGGGCCGTTTTGCAACACCCAGCAAATTCAAAATATAAAACTCTTTGGCAGGACATTTTCATTTCTAGGAATTTATCCTTTAGAAATACTATGCGATCATGACAAAAGGGAGCAGGTGAGAGAGAGAGGGGGGAAGAGAAAGAGGGAGATAGAGAATGCTAAAACATTTTTAAATGAAAAAGCAAAAGCTATATGTAAATGAAAAAGCAGTAGCACTTGGGTGGAATTAAATTTTAAACATTAGCCCTGGCCAGTGTGGCTCAATAACAGAGCATCGGCCCAAGAACCGAAGGGTCTTAGAATTGATTTCTGGCCAAGGTCAAGGGCACGTACCTGGGTTGCAGACTCATTTCCCACCCTGTCCGGGGTGGGTGAGGGAGGTAACCAATCGATGTGTCTCTCTCACATAGATGTTTCTTTCTCTGTCTCTCTCTCTCCCTCTCTCTCCCTCCCCCTCCTTCCCACGCTCTCTAAAAATCAATGGAAAAATATCATTGATGAGGATTAATTTTAAAAAAATTATACACACATGCATTTTACACATACACACACAAACTCAACATGAGTAGCTCTATGGAAGGGAAGTGATGTCTACACAATTTAAACTTTTCACAATTCTCATGTGTTACTTCCACTGTTTAAAAAACACCCCATTCCCAGGTTTTGATTCCGTTAAGCATATGCATTTTTTAAACACACCGCATGTGGGTTGGCTATACTGCCAAGATCAAGAACCAGTGGGAACTCTAGAGGGTTGTGGGCAAAGGTGATAAAAATGTGCCCTTGGATGATGCAGAGGCGGGAACAAAAAGAAAGAAAGGCAAAAAAAGGAGAAGTGGTATTGTGAGGTAAAAAAAAAAGGGGGCAGGGAGGTTAAAAAATCCACGTGACTCCAAGCCCCAAATCCTGCCCCAGATCACCTCACACACCCCTAAAACAGAGATAATTAAATGCTAAGAAAATCACTCTCCAGATTTGATTCATTAAAACAGATTCTCAGTTAGCACCTGTGTAACTGGGCTTGTGGAGAGGCGAGAACATCAGAACTTGGGCGTTACCTGTTGAAAACAGGCTTGGACAAGATTTTCCGGGAAGAGATTTCGAATAAGGTCCAGAAAGGCATCCAGGCTGGACACTTCGTCATTCTTCTTCCCAGGCCCCAGCTGCTTCTTAAGTTTGGGGTTCCCTGGGTGGATAGCCAAGACCAAGATGACGCCCAGGACCGCGGCGATGATGGTGGTGGACATGTAATACACCATGGCTCTCGTGCCCAGGCGCCCACTGGCTTTAGCATCCAGGCCTGACAACCCTGGATTGGAAAGAAACCCAGAAGGATTAATTCTGTGATGTTTCTGATAACTACCCATCTCTGCATACCTAGAACTTGGCTTCCTATTATTCAAATGCATCGATGCTAAGTTAAACCTCTTTCTACTAGCTAGCTGGTCAACCCCACAGTTTGCAATTCCGTTTTGCAAGGATGTGTTTGACAGAACTGGGGAGAGCTGGAGACCTCTGGTCCAGAGTGTAAACACTGGCTGGTGACTACTTTTTTTATCCATCTGCAATGTGGAGTTCAAGTTGAATCAATTCAAGTTTTAATTCTGAGATCATGTCCTTCCCACTGATTTGGTGTCAAAATATCCTTTCTTGTATGAAGGCATGGTGCTGGTGCATGCTAGTTTTTTACTTGCTTTCTTTGTTGTTGTTGCTTTTAATGTCCTCACGTGGGAAAATAAGAAGCTGGTAGCCCTATGTCAAGCCTCAACATTTTTTGCTATGTTACTGGTCATTGAAATGGAGCCTGGAATACTGATGTAGCACAGCCCTCTTCCAGTCTTGACCTTGTGTAGGGATCGAAGGACACATGCATAAGCCACCCCAAAAAGAGGGGTGCTGCATCTCTACTGGGCTTGGCTCTGTGATTGTTGGAGGAAATCCCAGCCAGTCACAAAAATTCCAGCCTTCATGGGTATTTTCCAGTTGTTTCTTTAGTTTTTCTACTTCTCAGTTTCAGTTCCTGCTTTTACGACACGGAGAGAGTGTACCCATTTTTGGAGTGGGGAGGAAGTCATTGATATTAACTTTTTTGGATTAAGCCGGCCCACCTATGACCCACTTCTCCTTAAAACCTACAGTCTAATTCTAGTTAATGGAAGCTAGATATCCTCACCAGTTTGGCCAGCGTACAATCTGTTAAACAGGCATGGAGAACATTTTGTCTGTTTTGGAAAGGAGCATTTAAGGTGAAAGCACAGCTTCACTCAATCTGGGCTGAAAGAAATGATAAGATTTTCTGGAAACCCAATCCCAGCATTTCCAGTTACGGGGCTCACTGGTCGACCAGCTATGAGACCGTAGAACAGCCTGGCTTAGCCTTGGAATCTCTTGGAATGACCAGAGCCCCACTTTCTTCACAAGGTGGACAGTCCAGAGGGACGACTCTCTTAAGGCCACCCAGCCTGTTGGCACCTAAATATAGACCAAAGCCCAGTCTCACACTTCACTCAGCACTTTTCTCTAAACTATAACAATATATGTACTGTTCTAGGAATATCATTTGGTAAGAAGGAGAGTACCCGTATAAGTCCACGGAGAGAAAAAGATTTTTTCATAATTTTTTTCAGCCAAAACAAGTGACCATGATATACATAAGGGTAACTTTCTTCTGAAAAAAGTCAAACAGCTTTTATATTTAGTATTTCATTTATTTTAATACTTGTTTCCCTCTACACACAATTAAGTAGTAAAGAAATGTTTCCTTTCCTATTTATTACCTTTATCAGTTTCTGAACAAACTATAATCTAGAAAATGAGAAAAGTATACGTTAAAAATTGAAAGCACTACAGAGACCATCATTTTTTAACATAAGGCTGTTTTTTTAATCATTTGTTGCTGGACAGATGGATGGACTGACCAATAGATGGCAAACTTATTTTAGGTCTGATTGTCCCCATTTTAGAAACAGGAAAACAAAGGCTCTAAAGTGAAATGACATAGATGATCACATTCATTCCTTCAAGTAAATTGATATTCAATGGTCAATCCAAAAGCCAGAGCAAGAGTAGGACCCACTTGGCCAGGCACCAGAGAAGGACTTACCTGTGATTAAACTGGAGATGATTAGAGGGAGAATGAGCATTTTTAGCATCCTCATGAGTATATCCCCTGGGAAGGCTATTAACATAACCACATCAGGGTGGATAGGAGATGCCAAGCGAAGAAGCCCTCCACATACTGCCCCCAAGATGACACCTATAAGGAAGGGGGGAAATCTGGATTTATTATTGTTTTTTACTCTAGTCAAATAAATAACTTTAAGAACTTGTTTCAGTGACATTCACCTTTCTCATACTTCTCTATTATCAGATGATGAATAGCATGCAACAAAAATATCACTAGATAAGTGAAGCAGATGTTGACTAGTAGGAGAATATTTTGTATCCCCAGCTATTCTAAAAGGCAGCTCTGGGAGAGTCAAGGAGAGCGTTCTCAAGGCTTTATGGGAAGTATGTCATGGCAACTGGACTCCAACTTTTTTGAGGCCATCATCCACGTGTAGAGTCAGAGATTGTCAGTAGAAACAATCCAAGTGCCAAATATTGCTTCTCCTTTTAGCCCGGGCCTGGCCACATGGCATGGAGTTTAATGTATTTCTTTCCTTTTTTAACTGGATACCTGGTAAAAGGAGCATTTGGTTGACTAAGCTGATGTGTTTCCTTTTTTCTTCTAATTCCTTTAATTTCCAATAATTTCCCCGTGGCTTACCATCGAGACTTTTGTCCTTGACTTCTATAGCCTCTTATACAATCGTTGGACTTGCTGATCTTATGGGAGATCATGGAGGGTCTCTAAAAAGGTATCATCTGGGAGGAAACAATTGGGGTAGAGATGCTGGCAGGAGCCTTTCGTTTTGCATATTCAGGGATTCCACAAGAAGAGCTTCAGATCTCTTCAGACAGGCGGCCAACATAAACAGTCCTTGTGCCAACCACCATCGGGTCATAGCACCACAGGCTGGGAGGAAAGGAGGGAGTTCCAGGATCTTGGCCAATCATGTTAACCCCTGGCATGCAAAGGGAGGGACATGGACCAAAGCCTGATCTTTGCTTCTTCTCCAGGTGAAAACTGTACTTCTTCAAGACCTATGATGAATGACTTGTGTTTTTGTGGAGGGTAACCCTTGGAAAACCCTACCAGGCCTGCGGTTTCCTTTTATTGAGTGAACTGAGCTATGGCAAACTCCCACTCAAGATGACTGACTCAAAGCAGGAGCCATGGAATGAAGGGTGTGCGTCTGTGTGTGGGGGTGGAGAGGTGAGCTGTTCATTGCTTCTGTGTGCTGCCTAAGCGAGAGCTGAAGAACAAGGGAGGGATCAGGAAAGGAAATGGTGTGGTTGTCATTACAAGAAACTGCAATTTACCACATTTTCAATAAACCCTGGTTGAAAACCTAAGGCCAAAATGATATTAACAGTCACACATGAAAAAACAACTATGGCGTGGGTGAGGCCTGAAGCAGGGGAATAAGACTTTTGAGACAGACCAGAAGCAGATTGAAGCATCAGACAAGCCTTCCCCATGCTGGCCTCATTAGCTAATGTGCTGAACTAACGTAAGTCAGTGAAATGTTTGGAGAAGGTTAGATTTTGGATGCCGTCTTAGTGGTCGCCTTTGTCTTGATGTGGGTATTTCTCTCAATGCAGTTCACTGACCATCTGCTTTGGAATCCTGGTTTGTTAAGATACAGAGTCCAGGACTTACTCCAGGTGGCCCAAAGCCAAGTCTCCCCAAGTAGGTGTCCCTGGGGACCTGCATGCCGCCACACTCAGGGGCAGTGTCTGTGCATACTGAGATCTGAGGACCACTAGGCTCCCTAAGAGCGAACACGTGGTTAGGGCAGGTGAGGGGGACGGTCACACCACTGAGGCCTGGGCAAACGGGGCCTTTGCGGAGCAGTCAGAGGGCTGGCTGCAGGAACCAGCTTCCCCACGGAGCCAGGAGAGAGCCAGAGAAGAGGGGCCGGTGGGGAGGCGCCTGCCACCTACCCAACACCGTCAGAGTGAGCAGCAGGTTCTTCCCCAGCTTGCTGCACAGCCGCAGCCCCAGGTTCCGGTGCTTGGGCGGCTCCTCCGAGCTGAGGTGGCTGTGGGGCATCCGCACTTCGACCTGCTTGGGCATGTTGTTGGCACTACAACAAAAATGAAGGCTGTGGTTAGGGACCGCTGGGCACCTCCCCTATCCCGTCGGAGGGGCACAGCTAGGAGGAGGAGTAACGGCCTCCCCCAGGCACACCTGGGAATCTGGAAACATTGGCAAGAAAATAAAAACAAAGGAAGCAACTCAGGGTACCCTGAATTCCAGTTCACCATTAAGCAAGACACTAGGTCCCACCGAATAGCTACCTGCCAGGTGCTTTTTTCCCTATTACCTTGGATCATCACAGCAAAGAAAATTCTTAAAGAGAGAGAAAGAGAGAGGGAGAGAGAGAAACATCGATGTGAGAGTATAACATCAATTGGTTTCCTCCTGCATGCCCCCTACCAGGGATGGAGCCCGTAACCTGGACATGTGCCCTGCTGTGGAATCCAACCAGCAACTTGGTGCCTGGGACAACCAGGGATTGAGCCCGTAACCCGGACATGTGCCCTGATGGGGAATCCAACCAGCAACCCTTTGGTGCCTGGGACAATGCCCAACCAACTGAGCCACACCAGCCAGGGCAAGATGGGGGTTTTCTAAGAACTGCCCGCCCCGTAACTCTCAGAGGCAAGTGTCCCTGTCCCATTTGACAGAAAGTCACTTGCTGAAAGTCACAGGCTAAAAGAAATGGAGATCAAACCCAGATATGTCATTGGCAGGAACACAGAAGCGAAGGCCACGGTTAGAGACCGCTGGGCAGAAGGAACGAGCTCTAAAACCTGAATCTCCAAAGTGCATAGAGACACAGCCTAAGTCTCGCTAAATTAAAATGCCTCTGAGCTCAAACCTTCCCATCCCAGACACAGAGAAGTCATCCATGAGGGTAGTCCAAGTTTTGTCTCTCTTTCCGAAAAGATGGCTTATCCAGTTTTTAAAAAATTTAATCCTTTTTGGTTTTTAAAAGATCATTCAAATGACCAGGGCTCTGCTAAGCTGTCCCAGAGTCAATACCACTCAACGGCAAAGAAGGGTGGTCAGAAGAAGCATGTGATCACCTTCGTCCCTGGATGCAGCCCAGCCCTTTTCCAGATAAACCCCAGTAGGCCCAGGCTGTGCTGGAGTCTGCAATGGAGCCCTTGCCAGGAGAACGCGCATGCTGCCTCTTCCCCCAGCTCTGTCATTTCCCAGGCCAATGAGATTTAAGCTTGAGGATTGACAGACGGAGGTCACATTTTTACTTTGATAACTTGGGACACTTTTGTTAGCTGCCATCTTGCAATCACCATCATTTGATAAAAGAAAGAATAGTCTTTAACACCTAGAAAGACAGGCTGAAGGCTTTGGAAACATGACAGAGCCTTGTAATCACTGGTTATAATGGAGATAGCATGGGTTTTACCATCACAGAACCTGGGTTTCAGATCCGGACTCCATTATCTGCTAGCTGTGCGGTGTGTAGAAACAAGGGCTTGCTGCCAACCTTGTGGAAACAAACATGATTGTGTATGGCAGAGGCCTGGCACGTGACACAGGTGGCTCCTTTCTCCAGAGAATATGAAGAAGAGACACATAATACTACTGAAGTTCATGACAACGGTGACATTTAACTCAGGGATCTACCCAGGTGCACCACCATTCTAATAAGACACCACACTTAGCTTCTAGTCTCAAAGTTAAGGCCAGGGACCCAAATATAACTATATACTTACTTTTACATGACAGGCTGCTTAATATATTTGCTAACAAAATGCTTTAAAATTTGGAATAATGTCGCATGGTCTGGTAGAATACCCAGATGAAATTATTAGTCAAAATATAAGCTTCTTACTGTTCCCTCAATGCCCTAATTTTCTACTCATTTAGTTAGTTTTTGCGCAACCTCTGACTTTCTAACATATGTGTGTGCTAATGATCACTCAGACCATCTAAAGAAGAAAATAGGACACGGTTGCTCACAGCAAGCAGATGAGGTCCTTTCTGAGCAGCGAGCAAAAATACCACTTCCTCTCAGCACCCAGTGAAACACACAGGAAAGTTCTTGTTACAACACAGCAGGGGGAAATGATCAAAATGGTCTTTTCAACGTGGCTAGATCATATTTTGATGTTTGCATTGGGATCTTTTAATACATTTAAACATTTTTCCAGCCAGTAATCTGAAGCTCTAAACCAGAAAATTGGCAACAAAGAATAGCGGTCATATGTGTTCGGAAATGGTGACTATTCCATTAGCCAGCCCTTGGTTAAACCCTGTGAGCCCCTCGAGGGTGTCATCCCGCCTTCTGCTTCCATGGAATCCCTCCTGCCATTGCAGCTAGAATCAGGCATATGGTTAGTACTGAAGTAAGACCAGTAAGTACTTAAAGCAAACATTCTGGCGAGATCCACCTGATGCAATGAGAGTGTCAAGCATCAAAACAACCACGTCGAATTGAAAACACACACATGTTAAGTTAACATACACACCCAACCCAGCAATGTGGTTGGATGCCTGCTGCACACAGTTCTTAGCTGCACAAAACTGCTGCGTGTTTAATGGCATGTTTCTTAGGCCATGACAAAATGTCCCCGAAGCCCCAAATCAAAACAGCCACATCAAAGTGGCAACATCAAAATGCTGAAACCCACAAGTATTTATTGAGAGAGTTAAACAAATGCTCCAGGCCGATCGGAGCTCCTAACTTCTGCAAATAGAAATATAATTTTTAAAGTACATCAAGGCTCCAGCTTGCATCTGGGGACACAGGGAGCCCCCTGAGAACTCTCTGGAAAGGTTCGATACCCGTCTAAGTGATCACTGCATCCCCAGAGCCCCTGAACTGGGGAAGATGATAGAATATAATGCCACATAACATTATATAACACAATACAGAGAGGCATCTAAGCCTTATATATCTTCAGAAGAACAGATATAGTTTTTAAAATGAGATTACACACATACAGAGCTATTTGATTGCTGGTTAGTGAATATGCATAGCAACAATGGCAATAAGGAGGATAATGGTATTTATTGCGTACTCTGCGTCAGACACTCTACTCGGTAATGAGTAAGGGGCAATCTTGCTCTTAAGGAGAGACAGAAAGTGCATTGCACCTTACTGGTCTGCTTCACATATGGGCCACGATAAAGGTCTGCCCAGGATGCTACGGAAAATGGTAAGAACGGTACCTAACCTAGCTGTAGAGAAGAGGAAGAGTGTTCTAGAATGGTCTCCAGGAGCGGCTGATGTTGAGTTGGATCTTAAAGCATGGATTGGATTTAAATGTCTACATCCTCCACCAAGCTGTGGACTTTGGGAGGACAGGACTGTGATCTTTAACACCTGGTACCAAGTGCTTGATAAATGTTTGCTCAAAGCAAATAAGACCCGGGAAGCAGCTATGAAGGACACCTTGCTCTCCCTGGAGCGAGGCTCTTCTGCGGGAGACTGAGCTACCACCGCAGCGAGCCTCTTACCTTCTTGCCTTTGTTCCACAAATTTCCACTGGGCACCTATTACAGGCCCCAAGCTGTTCTAGGAGCCCAGGATAGCGCAAATCAACAAAACAGACAAAGCCCTTGCTCTCACGGGGTGTACGCTTTGGAAGAACAAATACATGGATAAATGCATGTCAAGTGGAGACTGCTGGCAGGAGAGGACCTGTGGGGGAAAGGCGGAGGTTCCAGCATCAGGGACGAAGAAAGGCATCGAGGATAAGGAGGCAACTGAACAGAAACCTGGAGCGAGTGAGGGGTCTCCTAGTTAACTGTGCAATGTGTCCAGAGCTTAGCAAATACATGCGATACACACAGTTTGGAAATCTGTAGTACATTCAAACGAGAGCCCAAAGCTCCCACCAGATGTGACTCCTGGTGTCCATGTGCTGGTTTTGAGCACTGACTCAAATGAGTGACAAATTAGTCATGCCGGGCCCTATTACCACCATCAATATGATGGGCTTTCAACGACTCTCCCAGCTCCCAGAGGAAGAAAACCAGCCCCAGGGAGGGGAGAGCTGGACATACAGGCAGGGGGCTGAGGTCACAGTGGCCTGCAGTTTGCTTCCCTGGCGAAGAACAGAAAGGGCAGGAGCTGGACGGTGTAAGTCCACTGGGTAAACACAATAATTATTTCAAGTGAGCACACTTACCCCTTATGAATACTCCCTTCCTGGGGCTGTGCAGACAGATCCCAACACTAAGAACCTGGCAAGCCCAAGGATGGCTTGGTTAGACCAAATTCACCGAGCCTGATGTGTCCCAACACCGTGGAGCACCTCTGTTTCCAGTTGAGCGTCCTCTGGATGGAAGATTTTGCAGTGCAATTCCTAAGCAGTGGAAGTTTCTGTAACCCGGCACTGTCAGATCTCTCTCCATTGCCCGGCAAAGTAAGGCCATGTGACGAGAGAGTTGTTTGGATAATTAGAAACTTGAACAATGAGCCTATAATTTCCTTCAGCCATAACTTCTCCATTAAAAGATTTAAACAGCTGTTAATTTTGCAGTGGCTTCCCTGTTGTTCTTTCTTACGCAAATTCACAGGTCCTCCTTCAAGGACAAGCTGGAAGTATTCGTGTGTTTGTGTGTGTGTGTGTGTGTGTGTGTGTGTGTGTGTGTGTGACTCAAAAAGGAACATATCATGGGGCTGGTGCTAAGTTTTAAACTATTCTCAGAACCTGCTTTGTATTAGCATTCGATTTCCAGGCTCTGCCAAGAGCCTCTAATAATAGGCTCATTAGATGTGGTGGCAGACTCAGATCTCCAGCCTGCACACTTCGGCATCCTCTTATCTGGCACCAGATTCTTTTTTCCTCCTTCACGGTTCAGTGTGGTGCTAACAGAACATTTCCCAAGGAGCCTAAAAGCAACTGGTGTGTTTTGGCGTGAAGGATGTGAGGTCTGTGACAAGCATCACCCATCGGTCCTCGGCTACCCAAGTCCAAGACAACAGGAGACAATGTGCAGAAATTGCCCTAGTGAGGAATACTAGGTCAGACCCTCGAGAACAAAAACCATGGTTGTTGAAGGGGCTTTCCCCTTAGATATCTGGAGTGTTTGAAAAGCAATGCT